TTCTCGACAATAATTACAAAATGTGATGTTCGCCCTTTTTACACCGAGCCACAGTGTCGCCGCATTGCTCGTCCGCGTCTTCGATTATTGTCAATCGCGGTGTACGAGTAAACGTAAACTCTTTCCCCGATCCCGGTGGCGCGGCAATTCCCTTTCGACGACCGCGGCGGCGACGCGGTGTCACCGGGGTCCGCCGCCGTCCCTGCACCGCACGTCGCGTCGGGTATTACTGCGCGACATTGTGCCACGCCTAATAATAATAATACACGTTAACCACCCGTGAAATGTTGCGCGGGCCGTCCGTGCGGCGCGTGACGCGACGGTACGTTACGAGCGCGCTACGTACATAGGTATACAAAGTACCTATAGGTACAGGTACACACAATAATAATAATGATAATAATAATAATGATAATGATAATAATTTTTAACATTAGGCGCGCGCCCTGGTAGGTACTTTCGCGCCAACCAGACACCGGTGCGTGCGATACCTATATTATTATCATCGTAACACCGCGCATTTTTATCGTGCCTACATAGACCGCGTATACCTGTATAATTTATTATTATTCTGCACCGGGTACGTACGCTATAATATACGTGCACCGTATAGTGGTGTACACCTACCTGTGTATATTATTATTATTATTATTATTATATACTGCATAATATCGTACACACACTACACGCGGGTTGTCGGGTCGGATAGGTAAACGGCATATTATAATATGATAATATTATCGTACGTATATAGATACATACAGGGTGATTAACATAACCCGGGAAGTAAAACGCTCAGGGCCGGATTAAGCCCGAGTATATAGCCTAGGCGTATATTTTCTCCGTACAGTCATCGTAAGGACATCTAAATAACAATTTATACAATTTCATAACCAACATCTGGAACTTTAAAACTTTGAGTGTATCTTATAACCTATGAGTGGTTTGAATTTTTTGATTCATAGTTATAATAGTTATATTATTTAAAATATTTAAAATGCATAATTCTGTTATGCTATTGCGTTTTATCATAAATTAAATAAATTAAATAGGCCCTGCCGTTGTACAAATCTAGGTACACGCTCACCTAGTCTATAAGTTAATCCTGGACTGAAGACGCTCATGATGCCTCGAATTGTTTATCAAATTAGTTTTTTTTTTTAAAAACCGTGTAAGAAACAAGTAGTTATAAAATATTGTTTACAACCGTTAGCTTTTATTACCTTTATATTTAGGTGAGAAGCCATACACTATCAGTTTTTTTATTTTCAATTAGCGACCTACATTGCAAATCCCATAAACAGAAGGAGTTTTAGTCAAAGTACATTTTGACGTTGAAATTTTTAATTTCCATTAACCCACTGACGAGATGTTACACTTTTAAGTTTGAGTAGGAGGACGGTCGTTTAGTGTAAACACTGTAAACTACTGCGCCGCTACTATCCCTTCACCCGTAAACCGGCCGTCTTAAAAGTGGGATGTTTCGCGTCAACGTGGGTTGTCGGAAATTGAAAATTTCAACGCCAGAATGTATTCTAACTAGAGTAACAAAAAACGTTTTAAAAAAAAATTCATAAAAAGTCTATAATACATTAACGAGATAACGAGTGTTTTTTGTACAGTTCTGTTGATCACTCTGTATGCAAGACGCAAGTATTTCAGTTATTCTATAGTATTCACCAACGTACGATATAGCACGTAGTAAAACTGCATACAGACTCAAACGACTACATAAAGGGATATCGTATACACTATTAGATTCGGAGCATATCTATTAGTTTTACAATGCTGTTAATTTTTTTCTTTCTTTCTTTCTTTTTTTTCTTCTGGTCTGTGGACACATTTTTTCCTAGTAAACTTACTTCGATTTTGACATATTTTTTTCGACGCCATTTTTTAAATAAAAGCACTCAAGTGGGAAAAAACGTAGGAAAACGTATAATTTCACGATTTCATTATTTTATAAAAACACGAACGACATTTTCTACCAGAAAAAATGATTTAATCAAAAAATCACAAGATACCTTTTTTGTTGTTTTTTTAATTACTTTTTTACGGTATCAATGCCAAAACGTTTGAGATTTTAAGAAATTTTAAATTTTGGGAGATTTTTTGCTGTAACTCGGTTATACACGTAGAGACTTGAATAATTTGAATATAACTGATATTCGCTCAGAGTCGTATTCCGTGAGGAATGGTTTATCGTTGCTTACAGATATAAATGAAATAATCTTATGTATCCTACCTTCCTAACTTTTCACCTACAACAATAGCTGCTCCTATACCCAGTATCAGCTCTTCTTGTGTCTGTGAGCAACTTTTATATCAGAAATCTTGCTCCGATATATCAAGTGTAGCACTTTTTCTGAAAGGAAATTTTATATAATTGGTACATTGAGGTGGTCGTTTTTAGATTTTTCAAGTATTTTTCATAATAATCAGGAAAAACCAGAAAAAAAACCGTTAATAATAACTGATAAATATACAGCGTTATAATTTCGTTATTTTAAATTTGTAGGCTTTATGCTTTTTATTAGAAATATTACGCTAATAAAGAACAAAAAGGTACCTTTTTTCTTGCATTTTTAATTTAGTTGGTGAGTATAATAGTCGTTTTTTGATTTTCCCTGTAGTTTTTTTAATGATTGAGCAAAACTAAAAAAGAAAAATGTAGAAAGAACGGGAAATTTTACGAAAATAATGTTTTATTATTTTAAATTTTATTTTTCTGGTGTAATTCTGTTAAAATATCCATAGAGACTTGAAATAAATTTACTATTTCTAGACGTGGTAAAATTTTCCAAACTTTTGAGCCATTTTTTAACTATTTATAAACATTTTAATTTTGCTAGTTTTTATTTGGTAAATACTCTATGAATAAAATTGTTTGAGTATATTTTAGTACTTTTTTTATAAGAATTTTAATATTAAATTATGATGAAAATGTTAAATATTACAGTTTAACAAAACATGTATAACCGAACTTCGCTTCTTTTCGTTAGCAATAGTTTATCATTGCTTTCCAGATATAAATTAAATAACTTTATGTATCCTTCCTTCCTGACTTCCCACTTACAACAGTGGCACGCCCGTCCCCATTATCAGCTCTATTTTTTCCAACGCATCAATTATGTATGATATACGTATATACATGTATGCGTTATGCGTGCGGTCATCACTTAAGTGTTTGTCGCTCAACGGGACAGCAAAAAAAAAAAAAAAAAACCGTATACCGTCTACTAGGTCAATTGTTATTATTATACTCGTGTAATATAATAGTGGTACCTATAGTATATTATAATATATTATACTAGTATATACTCGGTGGCATACATTCGATTTTCTAATGTAGAGAAGGATTTGAATCCGGAGAAAAAACCGTTCAAAAGACGGTTTTAATCATATAGTTTTTAAAACAATATTAATAGATTCCTAGTCTGAAAATGGCATACATTACATCCAACTATATTTTTCCGGTGTACCTGAATATTGGATCCCAGATTATTTTAAAAGCAATTTCAATTTTTCTTCCCATTTTATACAAACTTAGAACTGTCTATACTCTATATAGTACCATTGATTATATATTTACAATCAATGTGATAACATATAACATTATAATATTACGCAAACGCAAACATTATTTAACACCTGCGCACAAACTACGGTTATTGGTAGATTACTGAATACAGGAATGAGTAACGACAATGTAATTGCATTGTGTACTCCCATAGATAATTATGGGAAAAATGTTATATTAATATTGAATAATATTATTAGATTGCATTTCGCTTTTTAGATTGGAGTGGAGCGAAGAAGTTTATGGCATCACAAACAAGCATTTTTTCTGCGGACAATTTTTCTACCAGAAATCTTGGTCCGATTTAAAGCATAGCACTTTTTCTGAAAACAAATCGGACTGGGAAGGTACTTAAAAAGGTCATTTTTCGATTTTCCCAGGAGTTTACCCAAAAAACTAGAAAAACCCGGAAAAACGGGAAAACCGGTACAATATTAAACAAATATTAATAAAAAAAATATGTAATGCCTTTTTAATTATTTTACCATAATATGGCATATATATTGTTGACAAATCAACACTAAAGTAAGGTTAAGGCAATCCATTCTATTTCAAGCCGATAATAGACCGGTAGAAGGTTAGATAGATTATAACAAACTAATTATTATAATTGTTATGGCATTTAAATTTACTTAAATCGTATCTTAATTTAGAATATTAGAATAGTATTTTTAATAAATGGTATTTAAATTATTAAAACTTTAAAATTTAAATAATATGTGTAATGGGGTCTCTCGAATGTGCACAGTTAAGGAATCGCTGCTCTATTTTGTTTTGAAGAGGATTATTATTGTTAATGGGCAGGTGGGTGGGTGGGTTTATTGGCTCAAAATAAAATTGACATAAATGTTCCAAAATAAATTGGTGCCCTGGCCCTTGCTGTTACTAACATATCTCAAACTGCATAGTTAACAAAATTCAAATTAACATTTTTTTTAAACATTTATATGGTCTAAGATGGAGGGTCTGTACTCGGGACCAAGAATCCACCTCCTTGATTGTACCATTTCAACAAGTTATAATTTATAGCCTATAGGTAAGTAGCTAAAATATTTATAAAGTAGTAAATGCTAGAATCAAAAAAAGGAGCAGTGACCAGTGAATAGGTACCGAGTATCTTTCTATTATTACTTATTATTAGCCTTTATATAGATAAACAAAATAAAATTTGATGAGCGATGGACAATAAATTCTTTTGGTACATTTTTAATTAACCACAAGTATTGACATAGAAAAAATTAGCATAGAATGATAAGTGATTTAACAGTAACCAGTGATATTATCACTCATCATCACTGAGATAGATAATATATACGTAAATACTATCTATCTCAGTGCTTATCATTATTTTCAAGCTGTTATCTATTATTATCATTTTTGTACAACTTACTGTATCCATCCCTTATTTTTATTCTTCAGTAGTTCAGTAACAGAAATATTGTTTACTTGTTAGTTCATTTATTTATTTGAGTTATAAAATGTACTTCACATTTTTAGTATTTTAATCCTCAGGATTTATTTTACTTGCAGTTGAATCATGAAATTATTCTATTTTTTAACGAGAATATAACCTTATTAACCGAAAATTAGTATTATGAAGTAAATTCCAAATTTAAGTTATTATTTTTTTTTAGGATATAGTATAAGAAATGGCATTTCTTTCTTGTATCAAATTATGGTATGTACACAATAAAAATTAGTCTTATTAATAATTTGTTTTCATTTTATTTATTTTAAAATAATTTACAATCTTTACAGTTTTGTATAATAAGTAAGTTTTATATAAGGCAAAACCTATTTGAGAGTATCTGTGAAATAATGGAACCTTAGTAATAATTAATATTGTAGATTATTAAAATATTTATTTCTAAATTCAGTATTATGTGATTGATAATAACAATGTATTATTTTATGATAATATTTTGAAATTTATGAATATAATTAAATAATTTATTCATAGTATTTCGTTTATTGTTGCCACCAAAATTGTTACGGATCCTTTCTTTAGGGAAAGACAATGTATAAAAAAATATAACGAGTATGAAATACGTAGTCACGAAGTAGTACTTTATAAAGAAAAACACTCAATTACACTACAAATTAATAAAATATTATATTTGGTAAATAGTAATACAGAAGTTAATATTCTGTATGTGTCGGATTCAGGACTATCGTACGTCGTCTTTATCGACGGCGTACGAACCACCCGACAGTATAATATCATGGTATGTATAATATAATACAATACATTCGTTTATACTAAGTTCTTAATGCTAAACCAATGGTTCTTAAATACTCGAATACTAGGGATTCTTAACAAAACTAATTTTCTAATATTTATTTTTAGGTTTTCCATTTTAGTATCTATTATTGCAATAATTCTTTTGCAAAATACATTACCAAAGTTATCAAATCTTGATCAAAATAAATCTTCGTTAAACACTTTTGTTAACAATAGTCTTGGATATTGTTTAATATTAATTCCAGGATATTGGCTTTACAAATTTGCCAAACATCAAGATTTAGGAGGTAAAGTAATTTGTTCTAAACTAATTTTAAATCAATATTGCGTATAATTAACAATTATTATTAAACACTAACAGATAATCATTTAACAAGTAAACTGTTAAAAATATTATTTGGAGATAAACACGATTCAGAGCCATTATCACCTAGTGCCAATGGACCAGTAAACTTTAAAAAAGATTTATTTACATTTTTATATTGTTTTGGAGGTTTACAAGTGTCTTATTTGATTTGGGGTGTAATTCAAGAAAAAATGATATCACAGGTATTTGAAAGTATCCATGAATGTTAATAATTGATTATTAATCATGCCAACTGTTCAGTTCACACAAAATCAATTATATGCTTTTGTAATATTAATTATATATACTTTTTATAGTCTTATGGTACAAGTGAATCATCAAAATTTCACGACTCACAAATGTTAGTATTTTTGAATAGAGGTTTATCTACAATTTTGTCAGCTATATTCTTATTTTTAAATGAAGGTATACAATCAAAAAAATCACCACCTTTATATAAATATAGCTATTGTACTGTGTCTAACATTATAAGTTCCTGGTGTCAATATGAGGCACTCAAGTATGTCAGTTTTCCTACACAGGTATGCATTTATTTAAGAATATTTATCTGGTACATCATTCTATTTTTGTAACTCATTCAGGTATTGGCAAAATGTTGTAAAATCATCCCGGTCATGTTAATGGGAAAACTAATATCTGGTAAAAAGTATGATTACTATGAATATGTTTCTGCAATTGGAATTTGGATTGGTATGGCTATGTTTCAATTTTTCACAGAAAACAAACATTCTGGTAAATAATGTACTAATTTTATATTAAGTTTTAAAATAATTACTTACAATCATACAAATTTCAATATTATATTATTCTTTTTGTTTATTTGTTATTTTTCTCTAGATATTACGACTTGTACAACAGGAGTTATCTTGCTTATAGGGTACTTAGCATCAGATGGCTTCACATCACCATGGCAAAAAAAAATCTTTACTGAATACCAAGTAACCAATATGCAAATGGTTTTTGCCCAGTCATTATTATCATCAATTTTTACGACTGTACCATTATATCAAGTTGGTTCATTCAAAAAAACATATGCATTTATAAATGAGGTATTTTATTATTAATGATTTAAGTACAAGTATGAACATGTTATAATAAATCTGTTCATTTTTAGTATCCAGAATTTTTAATAGATTGTTTAGTTTTATCTGTGAGTTCCACATGTGGACAACTATTCATTTCCAAAACTATTTCCAAGTTTGGCCCAGATATTTTCGCTATAATAATGACTATACGACAAGTAAAATATAAAAAAAACAATCATTAAGTTACATTCAAATATATTTTATCAAAACGAATTATATAAAATATTATTCAAGTTTTTCATTTTATTTTAACAATTATTAATTAAAAATACTTTTGAAATGTAGGTATTCATTATTTTCTTAGATTTTAATGTAAACATAAGCAACTGCATTTTTTACCATGTTTTATATTTTGGTTTTGATAATTTTGTTTGTATGCCTATGTATAACTATAATCATATTAATGTATATTTTGTTGTATTTGTATTTTATTTTTAAGGCTTTATCAATAATAATTTCCTGCATACGATATCATCATCCTGTTGGTATTATGGCCGCATTTGGAATTGTTTTTGTTTTCATTTCATTATTTATACGTTTCTATTGTAGTTTTCGTATAAAAACAAAAAAAGCTCCAAATCATACAACGTTCAAAGTATGAGTAAAGACAGGTAATTGCTTAGCTGATGATTATTAAAAATATATCTCCTGTATATATATGTACAAAATATAAAATAACAAATAACTGTTTTTGAATTGTAATTTTAAGTCGTTGAATCACTGCTATTAAAAGTCAGTAATGAAACCATACTGAAGAACATTTAAGTTGCTTGAAATACAAGTTGTATGCATCTTAGAATGTTTTCTAGCCAGAATGTTCTTTTTTGCCTCAATACAACACTCATATTGCTGACAGCACAGTGATAATAAATGACATTACAACACATACTGCCTTGTCATCTACGTTATATTGGCATGATAAAATGTTTATAACACTTCAATGAGACAGACACTGTCGCACTAGTTACAAATTTGTCTAGTGATGATATTTTTTTTTGAGTATCATTATTGATTTGGGATATGTAAGAGAAAATTCAAACATAAAAAATATACCAAGTTATAGAAATTAAGATTGCACTTCAAATATCAGTGGTGCTTCCATTTTACATTACAACATATAATTTTTTTAATTTTGTGAACAAAGATGGAACTTTGAATCGACATTGAACAATTAATTAATATTAGTTTTTAAAATGTACAATGTACATAATATTATTAAAATCTGTTTCAATAGTAAAGTTCAGCATTTGGTTAGTTTATTCTTGAGACAAATGTTTAAATACTGATTTAAATAATAACAAATTGATGCTGCTGCGTTGTCCCTTAAACCATTCACACAGTTACTCCACCAACCACCAAAACTCAGAATTTTTTTACCATTAAATTTCAGCGAAAATAGTGTTAGAAGTCAGATAACGAGTAGTTCAGTGGTAGAGTAATCACTCAGCAAGTGAGAGCTCTGGTTCAATTCGCTGTTCAGCTGCTTTATTTTTAGTACTATTTTTCCGGACAAGAACGGCTACATTAAATGTAACATTAATGTGTATTTTGTAACTAAAATCATATAAATTTGATTTATTTATAGTGTCACACTGATTATAAAATATCCATATAATATATATTATATAAAAGGAGAAAATAATTTACTGACATATTGATCAGATCTATCAACGCACAGCCTAAACCACTGGAAATAAAAATTTTAACAGTAGGTATTTTTTGTACAAGGAAGGATTTTTGAAAATTTCACTTTTAAAGTGTATAAAATTGAGGTTGAAAATTTGTATACAAATCTGCAATTATTGAAGTTCTAATTAAAAAGGTACTTATTATGTTTTCTACTAAGGAATTACCCTTTCAAAAAAGAAATTATCAGACAAGAATCGCGATTAACTGCTATAGAAAAAAAGACGGAAATGGGTACACTTTACACAAATTTTGTTATTGATTTCTGTTGAATGTATATCTAAATTACCCGGGTAATTTATCTAATTATCAATAAATACATTAATTAATTTAATCAATTAATTTAAAACCTATATATAATTATATAGTTTTAAATAGATACCTACTACCTATAAGCTATAGTATTAACTGTTTATAATTCTATAGATACTGCCTAAAAAAACATTTAGTAAAACCAATATTTTCCTAAATGGCTAAAAAATATTACAACCAAAAATAAGTTGGACAAAGTATAGAGAATGTGATACCCACATGTGCTGTATCAGTCCAACCAACGGGCAATATAACAAAATCTACCTTATACAGACTGTGTAGAACTTTCTTAATTTTTGTTTTAGAGTAAAATCACCTATTATAAAATTAAAATAGTATAATATTCAGGAATGTAAGATAGGTTTACCTCATTATTATAATTATTATTACTCCAAATATAACATTCAATACACTGTTTAGAAATAATGACTTAGTTTGTTATTTTTAAATGACTGTAACAGACGCAGTGAAATGGATGGAGAATTCGGAAATATTATATAGTTTTAAATAAGTTGTCAAGTATATCTGTCCAGTTATATATAAACTTCTAGTTAATTATACTATGCTTTATCTTACTTTTTATCTTACTTATTTAAGAAACGCCATAATTTATAAAATCATGTCCAAACTATAAAAGTTCCTATTACTCGGGTACAAGCGTTTATAATAAAAGCGTTATTAAAGTCCGTATAAATAAAATACACAGGTAAAAAAAGTTAAAATCCAAGTACTTGTATAATGTAAGTAGTATTAATCAGTGGCGTAGCCATAGGAGCAATATGGGCCATCGCCGTATTTTACATAATATTTCGTACATAATTTTTTTTATAAATAATAACATTCAACGATATTAAATTAATTAAGTTTTTTTGCCAGTTCTAAGGCTTGACTACGAGTACTTTTTGTCTACATTTTAAAAGTAATTATTTCTTGCAATGTATCAATTTTTGTTTCGAATGAAACACACAGTTTTTTAACGACATTTTCTATCTATGTAATTTCAGTAAATTTCCTATTTGGACATTTAGGAAATAAAGTGTAAATAAAATTTAAAAAACTGCATCATTTACTGTACTATATTTTAAATAAGAATATTTGTTTAATCACAATAAAGTGTAAAGTATAGTTTTCATAATAATTACGAAAATTCAGTGTACACAAAGTATTTTTTTTTTTTTTTTTTGTTGTTATTTGGTTAAACGATTAAAATTTTATGACTAGACAGAAATGCTTAAAAATTTAACACAAAGTTCATTATAAATTGTACTTGCCTAGTGGTCAAAAAACAAAATTATAAAAATTACGGATTATGTCTTACTGAACTTCGCTCTGAATCGTTTTTCGTTAATAATGGTTTATCATTGCGTACAAATAAAAATAAAATAACTTAATCTATGTAATATCCTACCTATAACAGTGGATATACGCGTCCCCAATATTGGCACTTTTTGTTGGTTTTAGTTTCCACTTTAAAAATTTAAAATAAAATAAATATTTTACATAATTATCAACGAATTAATGATTTTTTAAATAGAGACTGTAAATGTCTAGGTTTTTTCGAATTACCTAATTGCATTTTCAATGAATTTGGTAACCTCTTCTAGTCTCTATGCAGGTACACTCATATACAATCCAAACAAACAGTCATCAATCATATTGACTCGTACTAAATAAACGTTCAATACTGCAGGTTGTTTTTGATGAATAGTACAGATTCTGATTGCGTCGACCACAGCTGGATACAAATATTTTAATAGACCAATCAAATCTAATATAGAAACTTATAGTTCTATGTTCATTTTATACATTGTATACAATTTTATGGCTTCTGCTACAAAATTGGATGGCAAAATGTTTCCATATAGTTTTACAATATTATTTAATATGAAAATAAACTATTATTTAATCAAGTTTCTCATAGAATAAGGATGAAGATCCATAAGAGCAAATTATTGATGTGGGTTATAGAAAAATTATATATTAATGAAGATGGATATTATAAAGAATTTAAGTAAGGAACGAAAATAAACCTGAAAATATCTTTAGTAGTTGTAGAAGGATGATTTGTATCTTTGAATCTGTTGTGCAGTACTCGAGCGAAATTTTTTTTAACATCAAGTTCTTCAGCAATTTCTTTAATTTTTGCAATCATTACAAAAATTCAGTCTATAAAATGCCGAATCTATTTGCTCATGAACATTTAATTGTTTTCTCTTAATTTTAAACAGTTTTATGACATTAATTGAGTATCATGTCAAAAACTAATTTCATTAGCTTATAAAACCTAATTAAATTTTGGATATTTTATGCACGGAGAAACAATAAATGCTCCTTGAACACCTCTATGTACTTGAAGTTGAAATAATACATATACGTGACATAGTGGATCTTTGGAAACAGCTAAGTAATTTTTTAACAATTTTCCTTAATCTTTTGAAGAGAAAGTCACGTGAATATTTTACAAGAGTGTCAATACATTTATCTAGACTATTGTTTTTTGTCCATGTAGATAGAAATATTTGAGAATCTTGAGAATTCAGGATTTAATATTTAAATATGAAATTAATGAATACGAATATGAATATCTACTTCAATTAAACTTGTAAGAAATTTAAATTCGTTCTAAAATACATCAATATACTTTCAAATGTACATCTGAAACTGCAGTCAAAGCCAAGAAAGAAGCAGGGACAATATGGTTGAACTCTGATATAAAATTTGTATTCAGCAAAAAACACGTAATAGTAGAAGATTAATAATTTAGAAACAATTTTATTCCAAAACTCAAACCACTTATAGGTTTCACACTTTAAAAATCATTTCTAAAAAAAATTACTACAAAAGAAAAATGAGAAATGGCGTAGAGTGATGAAATGATAAAATTAATATTTGAGTAGCACAAAATGCACAAAAATTACAATTTTAAAACCTGCATTCTTCACTAACTAAAACTTCAAATCTGTTAGATTTAATAATATTACCTTTGTTTTACCTGTTAGATTCTGAGTGAAGCGAGAAATTGGTTTTTTTATATTGATTTTTTTGTTAATATTTACCATAAACGGATTCAAGAACTAGATTTCTTCCTCTACGATTTCATTATCATCAATTAAAATATGTTGATTCAGTTCATTTTTAAAATGATATTTTGATTTACAAAAAGGATAAATTATTCTGTGTTGAAAATCATTATTGCAGTCGATACCCATATTGCGAAAACGAGATTGATGATGTTGCAAATTATAATTTGAGTTGGTAGAATATGGTAGAAAAATGTACATAGATAATTCAAATGTGAATACTGTTCATGTACATTTTTTCCATGGCGAATCATGTTTGGTTTAAATTTTGTGGACGAATTACAATAAAACACTTTTTTTAATTAAAAGTATTAAATATCAATCTTTGATTAATTCCCTTTAAGTTAAGCTACTACCAAATCAAGCTCTACCATGTATTATAATACATTGGGTAATTACATGATAGAGCAATTTTACTATCAAAAATCGGTAAATGGATAAATAAAGTGTACATATTTGGAAATACGATGTTATTACCAGAATAGTAATAACAAAGTAATGGCGTACTAAAATAATTTTTAAACTTCCCGCGATAAATTTTTATACTCCTCCGTAATATATAATTGATAGGATAACCTTCCTAAACTCGTGTGATATAAATGCGGTAATGTGGTATAGTGATAACACGATCCTCCGAGATGGTCTAGTATATATAGCGTCTTCAGCGCTCCTCGTGTACGGTGTAACAACTACACAACTGATTTTATTATCGATAGTATCCATTGCATTATCGATATTTAGTACCGATTATATTATACTTTAGACGGATCCGACATTTTATCTTTCAGTAAAATTATTTTCAAGACCATTAGAATTCCAATACTTTATTTTTAGTTTTTATATATTACACATTTCCATTAAGGGCGTTCCCATGAGGCGTTAATCACGACAGTCAACTATCGTTCGTGACACTCACGATTAGATTAGATTACTCTGGATTTATTTGCAGTAACATTAGTTTCTAATGCAGTTATTTTCAGCATAATATTTATTTTCCAAACAATTATAGCCATCCAAAACGTTATTACTGCTGATAGGTATTCTCATGGTATTGCCATTCACTTCTGTTATCACGGCGAACAACTGTCCGATTGTCTGAGTCTCGTATTATCGATTAGATCATTATTTTGTTAATGATACAAATCGTTTTTTATAAACCGTGGTATAATACTAGGTATTTATATTATAAAAAATCTAGATAGAACCATTATAGACTATATTACTATAATAGAATAATGCCACTAAACCTTGGCCACTACTAACCTATTGCTCTCGTAAGTGCAAGCGATTTATGATTACAATTCACGATTTCTAATTTTCTGGTTATGCTAACTGCTGAGATTCTGAGAATATATTATTATGTTCCTACTTATCAGAAATCAGTGTACTCCATTTAAGTGTTCCGTGAATTATAACAGCAATTTCCACTTCATTTGAGGTATGTTTCATGACAAATTTGCTACAAAAATATTTAGGAAAACAAAATTGAGTATTGTGTTATAATTTTTTCAACATTATTTTGAATAAAAATATTATTATTTAAAACTTGTTTAGTTATGTATAATATTTTATTTTATTTTTATCATGATCAAATTTATTAAATCTACGACTAAATAAATAAATAATTGAGTCATGATTATGATGATCACAGTATTATCAAATGGGTTCATTAAAATATTTTATAAATATATAACATATTTATTAGGGTAAACCTGGATTTTCTTTTTAAACATTTTTTTTTCCTCAAATCTTTAATTAATTTCTAGTGATTACAATCATCAAATTTTTCAAAGATAGCTATTATAAAAACGGAAATTAAAATTTGAGAGAATCTTTTTTTTTCACCTAGCAGAATATAATATGAGTAGAGCAAAACAAAGAAAATCCTAGTCCAACCTATATAATATAAATATTATTATCAAACAAGCGTACCTACTGTAACAAAAACTAATTGTTTAGAATCCATTAAATATGTTCCACAGACCTTTAGAAAACTTCATATAAGAACATGCTATAATTTATAACCAAGCACAATTATTTTACTTATATATATTGAAGTATTTTACTTTCTATACATAAACCAGTATAAGGATGTGAGTTACTTTTAAATGAGAGGTGGAGAAAAAATAGATCATGAAATACATTGTTAGATCCTTAATATTATCATAGTTTATTTATTCATGGATTTATCGTGTTGGCCGTAGAAACTGTGGTATTGAGTTCGTTAACGTCCAATGTGCAATTAAATTTTAGGATAGCATAGCTATTAATTTATAACCCTGATAAAAGTGACAGGTTGCTACCCTCTGTCCTGTAATCATACATATCTCAACACATATATAATATATAATGTTTAAATATTATTCACGCATATATTTATTTAATTGCATTTTTGGTAAAAATAAATTCTTAATTAAAATGGCATACATCTTACTCAAAGAAAACATAATTATATATAAAATAAATAATAATAAACCTAAATGTAATTTATTATGTATTATATTCAAATAGTTTTATTATAATACAGGTTTGTGAAATTATAGAAACTAATTACATTTTATATTAAAGTGATTGTGTTAAACATATCTAATTATTACTTATATTTACTAATGACGTTTATTATAACTGGTTATTTTAAACGCGCATTGTCTTAATGGTTCTCAAGCCCCTCCTAAGTAAAGAAATGTATAATGTGTAATTATTATTTTATAACTAATCAATATTTCATTTAATGCATTATTGATATTCAATTATTCATACTATTAACTTGTGTATATTTTCTAATAGATTATAAAATATGAAGTTCATTATTAAATCTTTGGCAACTTTACCTTTGCGTCGATTTCTATCAACTGTACCTAAACCATTAAATCCGGTACAAGAAGCTGCCCTCGAAGAACGTTGTATTCTGGTCGACCAATATGACCAAGAGTGTGGTCATGCTACTAAACGAGACTGTCATCGATTAGTAAATGGACAAATCCCATTACACCGTGCATTTAGTGTCTTTGTTTTCAATACCAGAGATGAACTCTTATTACAGCAACGGTCATCAACCAAAATTACATTCCCTGATCATTACACAAATTCTTGTTGCAGCCATCCACTGTATGAAATTGAACATGAACGCAACAACTTAGAAGGTGCTAAAGCTGCTGCTTGTCGTAGACTCATGTTTGAACTAGGTATTCCTAAGAATCAGTGTGAACCTAAAGACTTGCAATACATAACAAGAATAAGGTAAGAATATTATTTTTCAGATTTATTATACCTACTATTAATGTTTTACTTAGGTATATGTCCGAAGGAGATGGAATTTGGGGCGAACATGAAATTGATTACATATTTTTTTTACACAAAGATGTTACATTGGATCCTAATCCAGATGAAGTAAATACTGCATTATATATTCCCAAAACAAAAATGAATCATTTCTTAAAAAATTTAAATCATCCAATTACACCATGGTTTAATTTAATTGTTCAAAACGAATTAACCAACTGGTGGGATAATCTAAGATCACTGGAGAAAGTAATGAATCATAAAAATATTATAAACTATTAAATAATTTTGGTTGGTAAGAAATTTAAGTTTGTGCTGAATTGACAAATATAAATACACAATTTGAACAATTACATAATTATAATAATAATTAGTTTTAATTATATTATTTAATAATTATTAAATATATTTATTAAAGGTTTTAATTATCTTGGTTTATTTTATTAAAATAAACATGATTGGGTTGAAAATAATAAATATGGGTTCAATATTTTGTATTATAGAGAAAAAAAAATCAAATATTATATTCTAAGCTACTTGTAACTTATATGTTGATAGATATGTATTGTTACTAAATTTGAATTGTGTAGTGAAATATTTTCTGTAATTTTTTATTGAAAATATATATTTTTATCTATAAAACTCTTATTATATTTATTTACTTAAGAAAATAGTAAAGTTTATAATTAAAAATAATGTATTGACATTTTTTTTCTTAAGCGATAACTTGTCACAGTATTTGTTTTATTTTAATTCACAAATTAATTATAAATTATATTATACACAATGAATATCAATAAATAATTAATATACAGTAAAACTTCTGTTAAGGGTCACTTTTTGGTCCTGTCAAGTGTTACAACTCTATAGGAAATCACTAAAGGATGGACACCTCAAAATAGTGGTCATTATTTTCGGTCCTTTCGGTGACTCTTATATGGAAGTTTTACTGTATTTAAGTTTAGATAAATTTATCCAGGTCAGAAAAAGAAGAACGATTAATTTAAATAAATATTATTTATCAACTCCCCCTTTTCCTTCTATCACTTAAGAGTATAATTTTAGATTTATTATAAATTAAAATAATTTATTTTATCTACTTTTAATTAATGGTTTGAATACAAATAAATTATTGCTATTGAAATAAGAGCGAAAAATAAAAATAAATAGTTGACATAACAAATGAAAAAAAAAAAAGAAAAAAATGTGTTAACTGTTTCCAGTCGCTAAATTAAAAAAAAAAAAAAAAAATGTAATCCTATGTGTTTATTATAAATAAATGTACCTTCTATTCAGTGATTTAAATAAAGTTTATATTTTAAAAATTATTAAATAACAATTTTAACTATTTATAAACCATTATTGTACAATATTATAATTATTTCCCATTAAAATAAATATGACAAAAGGTGATTAATTAATATTCATTGTTCATGTGTTAAAAAGTGTTACGATTTTAAAAATGTATAAAAAGTTGAAGTAAATTTATTTTTAAAAACAATGAACAAAAACCATATTGAATATTTATATAATGTTTAATTTCATAAGAAATATTAACAATGGCTAAGTCTATATACAATGTATTAACTAAGTTCTTCAACTCTTTTTATTAAATTTTGTTCTTAACAAAATATAATGATTAATTCCAATATCACAATAGAGAAATATCGCATTTGAAACTCCAAAAGTGATTCAAGCGATTAGTTTAATAATTTAAGCGATAAATCGATGTTAAATTTATTTAAACACCAATATTATTATTCATTTTTGAAATACATAAAAATAAATTTGTGTATATATATAAATAATACATAAAATACTATTTTTAATTAGTTATTATTTTTTTTTAATATGAATATAGGTATAACTAAACTGAAATCTATATAAAAAAAAAAAAAATCATCCTAAATATTTTACTTTAATTTCAAAAAAAGTGCTAAACACCAGTACACGACTAGACAGTTCTTATTGAATTTGTTAATCAGCAACCGGATTCATTCCTATTAGTTCAATTTGAAGGTGAAGGATCAGTAACTTTGGGTTGTTTTCGAACATTGGCTGCTGGTTGCGGAATTTGTGATTGCATTACAGATTGTCTGTTACGGCTAGGTGGTGAAGAAAATCTATGTGGTACGCCCATTACATGATTGGTTGATTGATGTGGTTGTTGTGAAGGAGGTGGTGATGGCCTGCTATTTGTTTGCCGTTGTTTGGTATCTGGTACTATTACCTTAGTCAATGCTTGTGATACCTGAGGTTGAGTTGCTGTAGATAATGGCGATTGGTCTTTCTTGGCATTTTTAGTTGCTGGCATGGTTCCATTTGGAGTTAACATAGATAATAATAATTCTTGCATAAAAAAACTGCGATCAGCTCGATCTACATCCAATTTCTGTTGTTCAGATTCAGTTAATGGAGCATCAATGTATCTTTAAAAATAGTGATAATTTTTTTAAATAATTTATTATATTTAATACCTAACAGTACCTATATAAACAATTTTGTATATTATATATATATTTTACATACTTGATTAGAAACTGCGATGAATTATTACGTGTAGATTGGTTTTGGCTAGAATTTGAATCTACAACTTGAATATTAAGTAAATTTGAAGATATACCAGCAGCTTGTGTTGGCACTCCTGATCCAACTACATTATTATTTGCCAATGATGCTGCTGCAGCAGATGAGCCATGTCCTTGGCGACGAGGTAAACGTTCCAATTGCTGTCTTGCAGCCTGTAAATAAAACATTTTAATAATATAACAACAATATAAAAACAGAATTTCCTTTTTGAACAAAACTTAAGTATTATTATTTCTATACAATACCCTGACTTGTTGTCTTTCAAGCTGCAGCTGCATCTGTAACTGTTGCAGCTGCGACGAAACGTTGTGAGTTCCTTGTGTGCTACTTGCCGATGATCCAGGCACACTATTTGATTGTGCTCTTCTAACTCCACTTAATTGTGATAATAACTCTACAATTGGATCATCTCTTGCTCCACCACTAGAAGACATTAGCATAAATAACTATTATTAATCAATATTATAATACCAGTATAGTGTTATATTTTAAAATAAGAAAATTTTTTATTACGATACAACAATTTAATATATGTAATCAAATATAGCAAATAAAAATAGTGAACAAATATTTAATATACCCATAGCAATTAAAAACAAATGCATAGCCAAACTAATAGAAAAAAAAAACCATTATTTTATTTTATTTAAATTCAAGCTATCAAAGACTACAGTTTGAATAAATATAATTAAATTGTCCGTACTTTGCTGTCCGGTACCTGAAATTGATTGCTCTCCGTACTCTTGTACTTCCCATACCTCTAGATGACTGTGGTATACGCCTAACTGAATGCCTTGCTACAGTTGGTTCATCGTGATGAATAGTTAAAGAAAATATATTTCATAAATATAAAATTAATAAACCTACATTTTATTTGTATGGCCTTTTATCCATAATTATTAATACATTTATACACATAAATTAAAATACTTTATCCTATTTCTCCTTTTTTTTCAAAATATCTTGTTATTACCTATAACCAAAAAAAAAAAAAAACTCCATAGATAACCTTGACTCACAAACATATAGTTAATATTTCTATGTTGTTCCCATAGATTTAAAACATATATAACTTGTATAAATGTTGATATAAAAAGGATATTAAAAATGAAATTAAATCTCTGGGAACATTTGGACTGGCACGGTGTTGCATTTGTAAATGAACAGAAAAATCATCCGTTAACAAATTTGGATCACCTCCTGGGTGTGCTGCACAAACTGGACAAACCTAAATAATATACAAAATAACTAAATTCACTTTTGCACTTTTTATCAAAGCATAATAATGTAATTTTATATTTTAAATTCAAAAACCTAACTTCAATGAGAATACATATAATTTAAATTATATTAGTTTTTTTAAATTAATTGATTAGTAAATTAAAGTAATACACTTTGTGCATGATTTTAAAATCTCAATGCATGTCATATTGAACTGAATAAAAACATGAAGACAGTGTTACTATCTACTAATTTATAAACTCGAACCATATGGTAATATACCTATTATATTACATTGTTTTAAAGATATACATGTTAACATTCTAATTTAAATATTATAATCAAATTCATTTTTAAAATATACTAACAACTTCAGCAGTAGAATCTGGATGCTCAGCAGTAACATGTTCTGTTAGTACTGCTTCAGTAAGACCCATACGTCCACAAAAAGGACACGTGAATGCTTGGGGTTGATCAGTTGACAATGATTCTCCACCATAATATAGCTCAAAGTCTGCACGTGTTAAGATACACTGCATTGGGTGATCAACTGAATGACGTGGCGTAGTAGCACCAGCTTCATAACAACTGGCACATAAATCGTAATCGTAACATTTTAAACATTTGAAACGGCGTCCTTTAAAGTTTCCTCTCATGCATGCATCACAACTAACTCCTGCAATGAAAATAAGACTTGAGAAAAATAAAATAAAAATAACACAAATAGTAAATACCAGGATTTGATTCAAATGCTCTAAAATTTAATTTAAATATTAAGAATTATGATTTTAATTATTTATTTATAAAATGAAAAAAAATATAATAATTAATAGACATACAACATAAATACATATTATAAATAATACAATAATAAAGTAAATAAATATATAAATAAAAAATGTATATATAAAAATAAATAAATGACTCAATACGTCGACTGGAGTATTATAAGTATATTATACGACCGGTTTTGAATTAAAAGTTCATTATCATGTATATCACAGTCAAAATGTAAAACGCGATTGAATATAAAAAATTAAACGAAGGAATATATAGAAAAAAATAATTTACAAATAGGTCGTCTTACATAGAATATAGAAATTATTTATTTTAATAAGAGAGATTATTTAAAATTAGTTGTTATTAGACATAATAGTATATTTATTTACTTTATATACTACAGGTATATAAATAGAAAATCATAAGTGGAATACCTCAAACCTATTCTTTACAAAATGTTACTTTTTAAAAATCTACCCTAAAACTTAAATTTAGTTTCAATCAATATTTTAGATAATAATAACCAATTAATTAATACCTACATAAGTATACTAATAACACAGTAATTATTTTTTTTTTTTAAATTTATAAACATAAGTACTTGTTTATTTATTTATTCATTCATTTAGAAATAGGTAGATTAAAAAATAATATTAGTTTCTATTAAATTCAAATAGAAAACATACTGCATATGTGATACTACATAATATCATATAACATATTATTTTAGTAGTATTTGACACATAGGTAAATGTAGTTTAATCAATATTAAAAACTATTTAAATTATTGTAGACATTATCAACTAGGTACTGAATTACACAAAAAATCTAAAAAGTGTCACAACTTAAGTAAGGACTGTGAATTAAAATGTTATGTTGCATATTCCCTTCAAACAGTAAAATTGTTTAATATATCCATGTGTTAATTAACACATTTAATGTTTGTAGTACTAGTTAATACTTACATGATAGTATCCAGTTATTAAACCCTAATGTATTCTACGCCAATTAAATAACTGAACTGTTCATATTTAGTCATAGTATAAGTAACATACTAATGCCTACTATTAAAATTGAAAATTCTACTATCTACCAATATGAAACTATAAAAAATTGCCTACTTTCAAAACTTTACTGTAAAAATAGTATTTTGAATATTACCGAAATAGTAATTGTCTAGTTATGACTCATAATATTGTAAATGATAATTCATTTTTTATGTAGACAACTTATTAGGTGGAACTACTAAATATACTTATTACACCTAATGACTTTTATAATACATTGTATTATATAAGATTAAATGATTTAATAATTTTTATTTTTTAATTATCACGGACAGTCAAAATTAGTATCAAATTTTAATTTGGCCTCGATGACTAGTTAAATTAAAAAAACTAAACATCTATTTCGGTTTAGTAAATTGAACATAATCAAAGAACAAAATTGTAAGTAAAGCAAAAAATAAACGATCATCGACATTTACCTTCATGACGTGACATTTCACAAATCCCGTCTGTGTCGTCGACTTGTGCTGTATTTTGATCATTAACAATAATTTCGTATATACTGCATACGTTCCAAACAAATCAATGAAGTGTTCCGGACTAGTTGAACCTCATATGGATGAAACACAATCGAATTTATCAAATTTCAAGTTAATAAATAATAATAATAATAATAATAAATTAAAATTAAAACAAGAAGGATGATAGTTTGTTTTTCCTTTATCCCCGTTTAATTTTTTTTTTCTGCAACTTCACGACAGCCGATTACGACGGGAATACGGGATGGCCAACGATTGTGCATGGAAGAAATAATTAATAGAAAATTCTTCCATTGCTTTATTTAGGATCCACAATTGCTGATAACAACCAGTCAAGCTAACATAGATGTTAATATTTCCCGTTTTCCCTTTTACTTTAACACCACAGAACTTTTCGTTGTCGTTCACTCGTTCATCGATCGTCTCGTTTTCAACTTTCAGATTATTTGAATTTATTTTCTTTTGTTTCCTTGGTCGTAGTGTGGATTACATGAAAAATAAAATCCATTTGGTCCGTTGTGGTTAATATTAATAAAGCTTTTTATAACCCCGAATAACATTCGTCTCCTCGTGTTCATAGTATTTTTCCATATTAAATGTAATTGTTTTCTTTTAAGCACCTGTTAGTGTGTTAATAAAATTCCACCATTACTTTTTATACTATTGACATTATTATTATACAACTAATGCGATATCAAAAGTCGCTTTTCTCATATGAATCGTAAGTACCTAATGTTTTAATAACAATTACCTATGTACACTAATTTAATATTACTTTAATATTATTCTAAATAACCAATCCCCATTTAATAATACAATTTTAGTAATTTATTTAATATATGTTTTTTAAAAAAAATATTCACATACTATAGACTTTAATTTAAAAAAAAAAAAAAAAAAAACTATAATTTACCCAATATAAGATTTACTGAAATATGCTTTTAGTAATACAGTCAATTATAAGTACAGGAAAAAATAAATAAAATAATATAATTTTAGTGTTATTGTATTATTATTATTAGAGATAATAAATAAGTTGGTTTTATTTGAAATATTTATGATTATATATAATAAAATACTTAAATAAAATTTAAAACTTGTAAAGTTTGTTATTTCGGAACAAATCAGTTTTATCTGAATGTTTAAATTTGAGTTTGAATTTCGAAATTTGAATATTTATAACTATGTTACTTTTGCTGTAAGGCATATATAATTAATATGAATGAACAATAACCTACATTCTCATACCCTACACAAGTGGAGGCAACGTCTCTTATAAGGTTAATATACTCAACCTATAACCAGACATAATGTTCCCTTTATACTGCTGTTAGCAGGTGAGTAAGTTTTTTTGGTGATCTAAATCATCCAATTTCAAAACTAAAGGTTTTATTTCTGCAAACATCAAATTCCACCATTAGTATTATTTACAAAAAAAATAGAAAAATGTGTGAGGTAGTAACAAATTTAAGCCTCCATTTTTCAAAATATTTTATTTACATTTCATATAAGTTATAAATTAGGCACCTTGTTAAAACATAATTTTAAATTTTAAATTAGAATGATCCTTGATAAATTATAATTTTATTTTTAGGTAATACCATGAAAGAAATGTTGGGAAACTGCAGTGTATGTAGTGAAGATAAAGCATTTGATGACAATCCATTAGTTTACTGTGACGGTCGAAATTGTAATGTTGCTGTGCACAAAGCTTGTTATGGAATTAGAGTGGTACCAAAAGGTTCATGGTATTGCAATAAATGTGTGACTCTAAAAAAAAATCCAAGTGCTAAAGTAATATGTGAATTATGTCCGTCTAAAGATGGTGCGCTTAAACCAACAGAAAATGGGAATTGGGCTCACGTTGTATGCGCCTTATTCATTCCTGAAGTAACATTTATAGATGTTGATATAATGGAACCGATCAAGCTAAATGAAATCCCACCTGACAGATTTAGAAAAGTCTGTTATATTTGTGAAGAAAAGAATAGAGAACCTAAAGTTTCAGTTTACGGTGCTTGCATGACTTGTAAGAAAGGTGGTTGTAAATTAGGATTCCATGTAACTTGTGCACAGAATGTTGGATTATTATGTGAAGAAGTAGGAAACCATGGACGTAATGTACAATACGTTGGATATTGTAAACATCATTATTCAAAACTTAAAAAAAGTAGCAATTTAAAAATAAAACACATACCTCCATATCGTCCTCAAAATGCTTCTGAAATATCTTTAGATGAATTTTCACCGGAATGTATTGATAGTGATGGTCAAGTTAAATCAAAAAAAAAGCAAATGCCAATTAATTTGGAAGAATCCAAAGAAAAACAACAAAGTGTTTTTAATATTCTTTCTAATCAATCACAAGCTGTACCTGCTAATCGTCAATTAAAAGGTAAGATGGAAACTGTATCAGTTGGCAGTATTAAACAATATCCTAATAATCCACAATCTGAAAGAGAAATTAAACTTGAAAATATTGATAACTCAATGGAAGTTGATATGATTAATGAAGGATCACAATCTGATGGTTTAAAAATTATCGAAGAACCAAATTTATCATGTTTAGATGTCAATATTTCTAAAAATTCAAATATGCCTCCAATGACTATGACAAACACATGGATTAAAGACCCAAATATGCTTAATGTGTCTACCTCTGTTAATACCACTAAATCTACTGAAGAAAATGACTCAAAGTATTTTGAATCTAACATTGATGCTCCTCATATGTTGGGAAATGCTTTAAATCCAAATTCTAGTATGGCGCAACAAATGACTGACACTTTGAATGAAGAAATTAAAACACATAAACAATTCAGTGAAAGTAATGGACCTACAAATAGACAGCCGTTATTGATGGGTCCTCAGTTGTATCGCCATGTTCAAAAATCTTCGGATACTCCTCAATCTAATGTTCCTGGTTCTGAATGGTTTACTAATGGACTTGGAAATAGTTCACAAAGCTTAGAAGATCTTCTTGAACGTCAGTGGGAACAAGGTGGCTCTTTGCTAATGGAACAAGCACAACATTTTGATGTAGCATCATTGTTGTCATGTTTGTATCAATTGAAGAATGAAAATGTTGGCCTAGAGAAAGAATTAGCTACATTTACTAGACGCAGAGATCATTTATTAGCTGTTAATGCTAGACTTGCGATACCATTGGTTCCTCAAAATAGGACAAATCCTGTTGTGCAAACTCCTCCCAATCATGTTGAAACATCACTACCACCCAGAACTAACTATTTACCATCCATGGACAATCAAATTTTACAACAACAACAGCAACAACAACAAAGATATCAACAACAAAATTATGCAATACCTTCATCCAGACATCCACAACAACACCAACGTTATTCACCCAATGTTTCAGCACAGTCACAAGTAATAGTTAGAGGTGTTGGCCAGGAGTCTTGGCCACAGAAATTTAATAGAAATCATAATCAAACACAGAGTTCTATGTATCAAACATCAATGCAAGATATGTCCAACATACCAACGTCCAGGCATCAAATGAATATTGATAATTTACCAAAGCACAGCTGAGACCATGCTGACTGTCTGTGTACAAAATGTATATCGACAATGACCGACTATTTATTAAAACAACTTCCTTAGTCTTAAATGTTAGTGTATACATTTTAAAACCTATTACTCAATCGTGTTCATTGGTTATTAGAATAAATAGTATTTTAATATTATACTCAGAATATGAATAATTGTAATGATTATAATAATTTGTTTAATTATTATACAGGCTACTAAAACATCAGTTTTATATCTTGACTGCTTAAAATAAATTAAAACAACTGATGTCACTATTCTATTTTAGTTTATTATTAAGATTTTGAAACAGTATGCACTTAATGTATACTTATTAAAATTAGTTGTGTGTGTTCATTTTTTTTTCTAACAGTATTATAAAACCAGCAAATAAAATTTTGTTTAATATATTTCATTTTTATTGATTCATAAAATATATTATGTCAGTGTTAATAAGTAAACAATACAAAAATCTTTTACGCTTTTAATATGCATACTTTTATAATATATGTGTAACTAATCAGTAATTTCTTTGTATTTTTAAACACGTTTTTTCTTGTGTTATATTAACTTTATTAGTAAATACACTATTTGTAGTAGATAAATTATAATTTGGTATAAGATAAATTTGAATCTTTTTTAATAAATGTAGAGATTTTCATACTATCTAAATAAAATAATATTAACAAAATTTTAATTATTATCATAAATGAATCATATTTATACATTTGTATTACATTTATTATAATAAATAATACATTTTTATTGTTCAAATTTAAAATATCTGAATAAAAAACCATTATAAACTTTTTTTGTCTAAAATGATTAGAGATGAATAAGGAAATTGTTTATTTATTTTCCAATTCTTACATCTATTCTATGCATGTACATTAGGGTGATATTTAAAATTAATTTTGTTTGGTATTTCAACTGTTTAGCTGTTTATACGTTCTACAGAAATATATGACCCTTAGAATTAGATTAAGATCAATTCATTAAATTTTAAAGGTTGCTATCGGTTGAAAAAAATATCTACTAGGAGCAAAATAAGATGCTGTTAGGAAGCCTACGTAAACAAAATAAATTTGTGATGAACATTCATTAAAGTCCTCTTGATGCACATTTTTAATAGATTGTCTTGATGACTGATATTATGATTATCATATAATGCAAAAATGAGAGCTTGGTGTTATATAAAATCTTGCATACTGTCATAACTGATCAACTAAATAAAAAAAAAAATCAATAAAATTTATGAAAACATATTATATAAATTATGAGATTTACACATGAAATTCCAGTTTATTATACTTCTTTATACAATTTGTTACAATAGCTTATTTTTTTTTAAACATAATTTTTAACTTGTGATTGTCAAACTAACATAATTAAATAAATAGGTATGCCAGCAACTTTGTGATACATACAAAATAATGTATGTCGTTTGCCTATTATCAATTGTAATTGTATTAGTATCAGACATATAATATATATGTCTTATGTATTAGTATCACTTTATCCGGTTATTGTATAGAGGCGAAAGCCAGCAGTCATGTTAGCGTGAAATTTGATATTAATTGGGATATTGCTGTTATACATATTTATTTTGTCATGATTCAAGAACAATATAAATAATTGTTTATGCAATGATAGTGATGGGAGATTAAATACCTATTTTAAGATACTTAACTACCAAAGGATGCAGGAGACACTATTTTGTACAAAGTAAAGGTATGTAGGAGTAGACTTGACAGGATAGGACTATGGATTAATCTTTCCTTGGGACAGTTATACATAAGGAAAATCGAGTAGGTTGAAAATTTAACAAATAAATGTTAATAAAAAAAGGTAAAATATAATAAAAATTAGTCATATATTTTTTAATTTTAAATTGCAGTTAAACTATAAATATACATATTAACAATAAGCATATAGATAAAATTTTTTTTTTATGAAACGTAAAATACAAAATTTATTACACATAATTCGAGTTTTATAAATTATACTTATTTTATCCACAAAGAAAATACAGAGTGCAAAGATATAAATTTTGGTTTAAGTTACTAGTACTAAATCTTTTGAATGAAAATTCCAAAAATCTGTATAAAGTATTAAGTTGACCAAAGGTTTAAATTAAAGATAAAAATACTTTTCAAAAACTAAAACAAATTTGTTCAAAAGTCTTCATCAGTTATATCCATTGTCGATAAGTTAGACATTTCATTAATTGCCACTGAAGCTTTTTGATATTCACCAACTCGTTTTTCAAAAAAATTTGTCTTTCCTTGTTGAGATATAAGTTCCATAAAGGGGAATGGATTTGACGAATTGAAAATCTATAACAAATTAATTTAAATTAATATATAAATAAAAATGTATATATTTAATTATTCACCTTGGGACATTCCAATTCAACCAACAGCCTATCAGCAACAAATTCAATATAAGTTGCCATCTTTTCACAATTCATGCCAACCATTTTTACAGGCAAAGCATTGGTCAAAAAGTCTTGTTCTATAGCAACTGCTTCACGTATAATATGTATAATAACATCTTGGGGTGGTTTTTGAACTAAGTGTTTAAATAAAAGACAAGCAAAATCTGTGTGTAATCCCTATAAAAAAATTTAAATGTTAACAAATTAAACACATTATAATCATAGTTATAAAAATGAATTATATTACAAAAATGAATCTACCTCATCTCTTGAAATCAATTCATTACTAAAAGTTAAACCTGGCATTAACCCTCTTTTCTTTAACCAAAATACTGCTGCAAAACTTCCGGAAAAAAATATACCCTCAACAGCAGCAAATGCAACTAATCGTTCACCAAATGTTGCTTTATTATCACCAATCCAATTAAGTGCCCAATCTGCCTTTTTTTTTACACAAGGCATAGTTTCAATAGCATTAAACAAAAAATCCCTATTAAAAAAAAAAAAAAAAAAAAATTGGATAAGAAACATTAAGGACTTTAATTAATTATAAATTTACTTTTCTTTTGGGTCCGCAATATATGTATCAATTAATAAGCTGTACATTTCTGAATGTATATTTTCCATCATGATTTGAAATCCATAAAAGCATCTAGCTTCAGTTACTTGAACTTCCTGAGAAAATCTTTCCACAAGATTTTCATTGACTATTCCATCTGAAGCAGCAAAAAATGCTAATATATGGGACACAAAGTGACGTTCTTCATCAGTTAATTTAATCCAGTCATCGAGATCCTATAGAAAAAGTTTACATTAGTCATAAATTACAAGAGTAATTATATACTCTTGTTCTTTTAATTTTACATTTTTTAAATTGACTTCTTCAACATTCCAAAAGGAAGCTTCCTGTTTTTTATACATGGCCCAAATATCATCATATAAAATAGGGAATATGACAAACCGTCTGGGATTATCTTTTAATAATGGTTCAATTGTGGCATCAAAATTATTTCTGTATGCAGTCAAATAATCCAAATAATTTTTGGCTTTCTAGAAAAAAAAAAAAAAAATGAATAAATTGGTAAAAATTCAAGACAAAACCCGATTTTTACTTGATCAGTTTCATGAGATCTAATTGAAGACATAGTGTTGCTGTGTAGCTCATTTAATACTTGAGATGGTTTAGCAATTTTGGTTTTAAGAACATCATGCTACATACAAATTAAAACAATTTTAATACAAAGAAGTTTTTATTATAACACAATTTGCAAATGTGATTAAAAAGACGGAGGCATTAGCAGCTACCCTAAAGTAACGACATGACTACGGAGGCCTAACATAGCATTGTTATGAGGATAATGAATTAAAATTAGAAACTGTTCATTGTTAACTACATTTGTATTGCATTTCATTTTTAATAGACTATATAATTATTGTACCAAAATTTAAATACTATAAATATAATTTATATTACATTTTAGAGATGTATGATAATAATAAGTAATCTGTACTGGAGTCAAACAACAGCTGAACATATTGATGGAGAACTCACAGAGTATGTTTCAATTAAACGGGGTGCAAGCTTGTGTTTTAGCACCACTATTATTTAAGACATAATTACTCGGAATTCATATTCCGTGAATACATAGAAGGGATTGAAGATGGTGTTTAAGTGAATGGGAAATGATTAAATTTTAGGTACTCTGATGATAAGGTGATTTTTACAAATATTACTGGATTAAAATACTTGATGGATATGCTAGTCGAATTTAGTGAGTTATGATTTGTATCTAAATACAAAGAATATGAAATTAATGAAAATCAAAAAATCATAAATTAAGAGGGCATTTAATAATTAAAAATCAACATATAGAGCAGTTGTAAATTTAGTTAACTTTGAACAATAATAAATGAAGATATCAAAATATGTCTGAAAGTATTTAAGTGCCACGATCTGTCCCTTTGTACAAAAACTGTTAAGGTGTTATATTTTTTCTGTATTACTATATTGAGTAGAAACTTGGACACTAACAGAGTATTCATGCAAGAAAATTGACGTTTTTGAAATGCGGCTGTAAAGGGTATGCTGAAAATGTTATAAATAGGTTGTATAACTAATTGAAAAGTATTGGAAAATTGAATGGGAAAAAAGAAGGAACTTTTAATAACAATAAAAGCTCAGAAACTAGAATGCATGAGAAATATCACTAGGAATACGAATATTTCCATACTTTAACTTATATTACAAGGATATATAGAGAGAAAAAGAAGTGTAGGAAGAATGTTTACAATTGGTAAGATAAATCATCAAACGACTTATTTGGGACATCACATGTCAAAAACAATGTTGCTAGCATGATATCCAATATTTGAAATGGAAAGAAACTCGCACAAAAAAAAAAAACTTATGGAATTTGTATGAAGACTACTTATCGGGTATTATCAATAAATAATAATTTCAATTCAACGAATACGATTTCATAAAAGTAAAATGAAAACGCAAGATTAATAAGTATTATAATATGTATATAAAATTTAGTGTACGAGTTACGTGTCATGACAAGAAATTTTTGGCGGCAAACGAAACAAAGCGTTGACATGACACTTCCTGTGTAACGAATACACACATTTACATAATATAAGGATTTGTTACCTGTGAATTTTCCAAGTTTTCCTTGTTGACTAAAGAGTTCATTTTATTAATAATGAAAATAGTTTGTACAAATTTAATTTATTTAATAAATGTGTTTGCGAATTGAAGAACAAAATAGGCGAACGTTATGACGGACAAGTGTGGGGCAGTAGCAAATGGAGACAGAAAACAATATCGACAAAACACGCCGACAACGGTCTAGACTCAGGGGAACAAATTTTACTAGAGTATTCCTCTCCTGCCGCGAATAGAGTGACGGCTGCGCAAAGCAACGGAATTAGCCGGAAGCGCATGCGTATATGTGCACGCCGCCATTTAACGCGGCAAAACCACGGTTATCTTCTACGGGTAAAACGTCATTTTGGCGGTAAATAAGTTCTTTGTTAAGAGTCATTGTTAACCGCGGTTATAAACGTGACAAAATGATTATAACCTAACCTAATAGTTGTTCGTATTTCGCTATTGAAAAACAGTGGTAAGCAATGTTGTCAGGAAACGATTAGAACTGTTTCTGGAGGAACGCGGCCTTGTCGTTTATTAACAATTAAAATACTTAATACGAAATAAAACACGACATGATTTTGCACAATAAATCGAGCTCGTTTTTCAATTAAAAGTCGAATTAAACGAATGGAGGTCACCGAGGTTAAAACAATTTTATAATAAATTAATTGAATACAGTAATATTCGACTATTGCAAAATTTAAATATCGGTGAAAAAAATCATGCTTTTTTACTATTGTTATTTATTCTTGTCATTATTTATTTTTATCATTTCTGAACAACTGTTCCTTTAACCATTAAAAAAAAGTAAAACTGAATAATAATAATAATTAATAATGGCTCCTATATCACAATAATGGATTTTTTTCATTTGTAATCAGTTGATTCAACAGAATTCTATTGTGTTTAACGATTGATTCTTAGAATGAAGATCGGTACTATTTATGAATTTAAAAAATGAGTTTTTATTGTAGACAATGTCTGATAGATTTAAAAGTAGAATAAGTCAACTAGAAGTGAACAATTGGAAAGTATATCATCTGATGAAAGCTCAACAGCTGCTTCTCTAAATACTTACAGGTCATAAAGAAAATGTTCAATTACATAATGATTTTCGTTAAGGAAATAATATAAGAAATAATAAAAACAAATAATAATTTTAAGATTATTCGTCTCAACCCAATCTTGTTCAATTAACTATAATTGTCTTCCATCTCTTATTATTAGGTACATTATGCAATTTTAATATTTTATGCGATATTCCTTTTTAGTTGTTATTAAGTAATTATTTCAATAATTAAAAAATGTATTTATTTAAAAATATGATAATTAAAATAAAATATATTGTTGATGTATTAGTATATAGTATGCAAAGTAGTAAACCGGTATAAATTAATAATAATACAAATAGAGAAAAAAACCAAAATGTTTTATTAAATTTAATTTCAATGGTAAATAATGGGATGACAAAAGAAAAAAAAGACGGACATACTTCACACGATAGGTGGGTGGGTGACTGTTGTAGGCGAGAAGTTGGGGAGGTAAGATAAAGAGGGGAATTTCGTGTGTCTGTATGCAACGATTAATCATTGATAACGAAAAACGATTGTGAATGGAGTTTAGTTATACACTTAGGTGTAAACTGAAGGGTGAGGAGTGGCAACTATTCTCCCATCAAAATTAAACGGGGAAAGGCCCCCTTTGACGTGTCCACAGTTGCCCAGCAAGAAAGCGCACCACGGTTTGACGAAAATTGAAAACCGCTAAACTCGATGGACGTGCTCTGAAATAACACGAATGTATTGAATATTGCTACGCCCAACGGCGATATGAATGGGACAATTGAGAAGCGATCATTTCTAGATTTTCTAAATTATAGAAGGGTGATGAATAATACGAACATATATTTGGCCTCCATTTTTTTATTGCATTTCGTCCAACATTTGCTCGCCTTTTGGGACGGTCTATTCAAGCAGTAGGCTTATCGATCATATACCTAGTTTACATTCAGCCGCTGCCAATGCTACTCGCGCTGCCGTATTTACTCCTCAAAATGCTTCTGTGACAGCGTCGACGGCAGTGAGTGTTGGCATTGCCCTGCTAATTATGGCAGCGCGAGCAGCCATTGCCGGATTGATCGCATTGCCGGTTATGTTGCTGCTCGCGCTGCTCAGTTTACCGCTGTTGACGGCAGCGTCGGGCAGCGTCAGTGCGAGAGCATGATCAGCGCGAGTGACGTGTTTACATACTTGCGTTGCCAATTTTAATGCTCACTTACCTGTTCACTGCCACGGTAGTGGGCTGAATGTAAACTGGGTATTAGATTAATTTTTGGAATAAATTATGTAACGATATGGTAACGTCGTGGTATCGTGAAATCTTGTTCTCATCTATGTTTCATCGACAAATGTATAAAATAGATCGACCACGGACCAGTATAAATAATAAATACAGTCAATCATGAGTATTTTCTAAATTATTTTTATTTACTATACGTGCACGCCACCATTTAACGCGGCAAAACCACGGTTATCTTTCACGGGTAAAACGTGAAGAGTCATTGTTAACCGCGGTTATAAACACGACAAAATGGTTATAACTTAATCTAATAGTTGTTCGCATTTCGCTATTGAAAAACAGTGGTAAGCAGTGTCGTCAGGTAATGATTAGAACTGTTTTTGGTAGAACGCGCCCTTGTCGTATATTAATACTTAATACGAAATAACATACGACGTGGTTTTGCACAATAAATCGAGCTCGTTTTTCAGTTAAAAGTCGAATTAAACGAATGGAGGTCACCGAGGTTAAAACAATTTTATAATTAATGAATTGAATAGAGTAATATTAAAACTATAAAGTTTATTTCTATTTCGAATTCCAATTATTTGTTCATGACGCGTTGTCGCGTTGAGTTGTTTGATTTATTAGCTAAATTGTAGTTTTGGTCTTTGGTCAGAGTATAGTGAAATTAGTGACCGATATGACGTTTTATTGGAATCTTTATATTTTCTTGGCTTGGATAAATCGATTGATTCAAATATATCATCAGATGCAAGGTTTTTATTAGAAAAATGGACAACTTTTGAAATTATCGTAACTTCATTTATATTCTTTGAAATTTGTCATTACACTGCTATTTCAAAATATCTCCAATCGAAAGAATTAGATTTCATTACTGTTATAAATCTAATTAAGTCTTTATTGAGTGATATTAAAAAAGGGCTATCTAATTATTATATAGTTGAGGAAAAAGTTATTAATTTTGTTTCGAGTAAAAACAATTCTGATCAAATTAAAAAGCTTGGAAATATATAGATAGAACAAACATTTATTAATAAACGAAAGCCAAAAATTAAAAAAATGCCCGGTGAGAAAGCTTTGGATGATATTAGAAATATTTCACTGAATGAATATTTTAAAATCATTACCAATCGAAGAATTTACGATGTTCTAATTAAAGTTTTTGAAAAAAATGATAAAATATATGAAGTATTAGATACATTAGATGCATTTAATATACAACGTCTTAAATAATTCGCCAAAAGTCCTCGTTTAATTAATGATGATAATTTAAGATATGTTGATCAAAAATCAATTGCTGAATCTGAAATCGCATTAAAAGAAGAGTTTCTTCAATTTATATCATTTTTTAATTAGACTTTTAATAAAATTGCATATAAAAGTAACACAAAATCTCAAAGTTATAACAATAATTTAGCAGAATCTAGTAATGGTTTAAAAACGATTACTTGTAAGTTTGGAAAAGAAGTAGGCTGCTGCGGTTGTCCACAACATTTGTTGGAATATTTATATAAATTTAATTTATATACACCAGCCTTTATTCAAACTTTTACTTGGTATACAAATTTATTCTCACCCTCTTCTGTACTCAAGTGAACTGTGAACGTGCATTTTCTAAATTAAAAATAATAAAAAAATATTAATGAGTGCAATGAAGGACAAGTTATTAGAATCTTTAATGCTGATTAGCATAGCACCATATATGATCCCAGAAACCAATATAATTATAGATGCTATTGGAAGAAGTTCTGAAATATTTAGTAATTTATTAATTTTCTAAAACAATAGTATTTGTAAAATTAAAAACATTATATTTATTTTTGAAATTATTTTATTTTATTTGTATAAAAAAGATTTAAGATTTAAATATTGAAGTAACTTTTTTGTTTTAAACTCCTTATAAAGTTATTTTATTTAAAATAAAAATTATAAAAATAGTCACATGGTTACTATATTGTACAATATATACCCACTCGGACTTTCAAGGCCTCAGCCCGCCCCCGGTATTTTGTTAAAAGAGCGTCTATCAAATTTCACTTTTTTCAGGAAGCAAAAAAAACTGTATTGCAAAAAAAAGCAAAACAATTTTTAATGATGTTTATGATGAAAAACAATAAAATTACTCGTACACATAATACCTTGTACAAAAAGTATAAATGGTATTGAATGTGGTAATAATAATAATACGACTTTTTAATAAACCAGTGTTGATTTAATTATATTTTAAAAGGGCACCTGATTTGCTATTTTCATGGTGCGTTTTACTGTGCAGTAAAAGATATAAATCTATACAACTTAACATTCATGGGTATAGAGTATAAACTTCTGTATCATATTTTTAATATCACAAGAAACAAGATAACTTAAATAAGATAACTCATTCAATACAATAAGACCGTCTGAAATAATCCCTAATTTGATAGTAGGGCAACTACTAACTAACTACATCATAAATGGTGTGTCACAGTTCAGTAGCGTATAACTGTAATGTTATATACAATATGGTGTATATCATAATTTTAATCAAATAAATTAGATTAATTTATTTTTTTTGTCTTTTTTATTATTTTTGTTTTGTATGGTCTATTGATAATAAAAACAATTGTTTACTACTATTTTGTACTTGACGTTGTGGTTTTTACAAATTAATAATTTTTTTTGGTTAATATTTTGCAGGTATAAGGTTCAAATAAATTTTAGGTAATTTTTTTTTTCTTTTTTATGTAATTTAAAATGTATTGTAATGATATATACAATATGGTATATATCATAATATAATATTATATAACATTAATATTATCTACATTACATTTTATTATAGTGAACACCACTCTTTTTTATCAGATTATAAGTCAATTTAGATTAATACAAAATAGTATGTATTACAGTTAAATATCTCATGTAATTATAAGACATGATAATGAGAACCGGACAACACCACTCCACTATTTTCCCCTTTCTTTCTCATAAAAGATTCCTCGATTCATTCGGCCACCGGATCCTACATTAGCGACTCGTCATCTTTATCGTCTTCCCGCGAGTGCGTATTGTTCCGGCTTCTAACATTCCGATATCATAATTTTTAATGTTCATTTTATCATTCCTACTACCTATTTTTATCAACATAATAAATAAATATAATTATATCTGTATTCAAACTCAACATTGTTGCTGAGTATACTCCGTTTAGGATAGGTAAGTATATTATTGTTACCATTCATAGTGTATATTTTATATTAATTGTTTCTTACCGTCGTAGGTTGTAATAAGTAATCTGAGTGATTAGTGGGTATACATTCAGTTACTTTGTACCCCTTTATTGATATTGGCAAGATACTATCAATTAAAATCAATGGTAGTCAAATTGTATGATTTTTAAGAAAAAAAAAATTGAACAATTTACTTCTCATACTCTATTGCAAAAACGAATTTTCTTTTATTTTAAATAATTGTTTATAAATACATAGAATATCCTACAGAGATCTGATAGAGGCAATAACTTTTGTTCAGTTAGCAAAGGAACTATTGAATTTACTAAGATATCTTCTAGTCTGTGGACACGTTTTTTTCTAGTAAACTTACTCCAATTTTTATATATAGCAACTTTTCTGAAAGCTCAAGTTGTCTATATGGTACTTTAGAGAGGTCATTGATTGTCAACGCTATTTTTTAAATAAAAGCACATAAGTGGGAATATACGTAGGAAAACGTAAAATTCCACGATTTCATTATTTTATAAAAACAAGGACGACGTTTTTTACCAGAAAAAAAATGTTTTAATTGAAAAATCACAAGACACTTTTATTGTTGCCTTTTTGCTTTTGCAGCTTTTAAGGAATTTTTATTTTGTGGAATTTTTGTGCTATAATTCATTTATAAATACACGTAGAGACTTGAAACTTGGTAATAATACTTATATTGGATTTACCTAGACGTGATAAAATTTTCGAAATTCCTTTTTTTTTTTTTAATAATCGTTTTGAAATCAAATTTAAACGAAAATCGCAAAAAGCAATGGTTGTTGCTTAAAGATATAAATGAAATAACCTTATGTATCCTACCTTCCCAACTTCTCAAAAAAAAAAAATAATCTTGTGTTTTTCGGGTGATATTTTCTGGTACTCATTAATATAAAATTACGATACTACAGTTAGTTAAATATCTGTTTTTACCGTGCTAATTACCGATGTGAAACAAATACTTATGTTTCGCATCGTGTTATTTGAGGTAAAATAATTTTTGTTATCGCAGAAAGCGACTTTTAATAAACGAAATAACATATTTTAAAAAATCAGTCCCCCTCTACCTATAAAATCATAGCGAATTTTCGCCTGTAATTATACAATAGGAAAAGTACACGCGGAACATCAAATAATAATATCGCTGTCCGAAAACACACATTACCGATTTAAAAAAAGCTTTACAATACAGTGACAAGTCCACTAACAGTATCAACACTTTTTATTAAAATTGCGACGTCAAAAAGTGCAGAAAAAAAAGTGTTATCATCTTATTGTTGAACTGAGGTCTTCAATATTCTAATCGCTATTATCATCTCCCGAAATCGAATAACTGTATTATTATTACATTCAACACACCTGCAATTCTTTTTGCAGACCAAAAACTTGCCACCTTACGACGTTTCAAACAAATATTGTCAGTCGTGATGGTAACCTCTTTCTTGTTTACCGACCGGCCCTATTAAATAGCTCGTCTCTCACCATTTCAGTTACTTCTGGATTTTTGATTGTTTTTGGTGTTTTTTTGTTATATAATCTTTTTGCTCGTTGCAAAATAATAACATTAGCTTTCGTACCATCAAGACATGGCATCAGTGGTGAGTACCGACTAATAAACAACGCAGAATAAAAATTTTAAACGCCAGGTTTTATTAACACAGGGATTCGTGAGTATGATCAATTCGATCATTTACGACTTGAACTCGGAAAACTACAACGTCAGGTCCCAGAAAGCAAGGACAATACCGGTGATCACCAGAAGGGATATAAACGACATCGCTACAGAGATTCACGTTCGAGTAAGAACGATTAGCTACGATAGTAAAAATCGAGAGCGGATATTTTTTAGCGCGATCAATGATCGTAATTTCACGTGTATTAAATCCCATTTAGGCTTTGGCACGTCCGACACACGCAAAGTTATACGCGAACCTTTGCGCAGACATAATTAGCAGCGGCTTCGTCGGCGCTCCCGGATCCGGACAGGCGTTTCGGACCGCACTGCTACTGATATGCTACGACAAAATGAAACAGTCTTGGGAGACTACGCCGGTACCGACACAAAAACTATAATATTAAATTCCGATTCCCGTTTATAGTAATATATTATGTTATAAATACGCAATGATTATGTTTTAGGCTACGCAATTCAAGGAGAAACACGTTTCGGATCGTCAAATCAGCTATTTCTCAACAAACTGCGTGTACGTTTTCAATATCAAAAAATATAATAATACATTATACCGCGAACGTTTTAAATTCCATTTGATATTATTTACGTGTTCTGTTGTTTTATAGATTTATCGGTGAACTCTATAAACTCGGCGTCTATCCCACAGTTATTGTATGGTCGTTCATAAACAAATTGTTGAACAGATATAGTTGTGATGTACAAATCCAATGTTTGTGCGCTCTCTTGACATCGGTCGCACCAAAATTGTCCGAGGTAAAATACGCATTTTTAAAAAAACAAATTTAATTAAGTAACATCATAAATTGTGCACTCGAAATTAATACGTACCTTATAATCAATGACCCATAGACCTACTTTATGATTATCTTTACCGGATTCGTGAACATGTGATTATTAATAATTCATTTTTGAAAATTCTCTCCCGAATCGATCGCAGAATATATATATATGGAAATACAAATGTCGAATTTGTTTTGCAGTTGAAATGAAAATTCTAAATTTTTGAGACATTTTTGTTTCAGCTATCGATTTGTACAACACGAAGGTTTAAAACGTTTACAACTCTATACGATATTATAATTTTTTTTCTCCTTTTACTTTTGAATTAAAGTTGGTAGTTTCGATTTGAATTTTTGATTATTTGTACATTCTTCGTTTGAACAGGATTCCAAAGCGAGAAATTCATTTTTGTTTTTTTGGGGCAAATTTCAATCTTAATGGAATAATTTCGAATTTCTATGTACTTTATGCAGTTATATTAAGTATGCGATAGCGTAATAGGTATATTACAAAACCTATAAATTATAAATAATTATACTATTTTATATACCTACATATCTACTGTTCTATTTTAGTCAAATTTCTTGTTCAATGACGTACGACATAGGAAACAATTTGTATTAGGGTTCAAACTGTTGAAGCTCAAATTTAATTTTAAATAAACATTTTCTTTAAGTCATTTTTGTTCAATCAAGACATATTTTTTTCACACCAATTTTCCAATGTCTCAATAAATTTTTTTATTTTCCCTTTCTATGAGAACAAAATACGTGATTAAATGTTTTTTTTACGCTAAATAGTAAAAATCGTATTTTTTAAAATGTTTAAAATATTTTTGTTTAGGTTTATTGAGATAATATTTTTCATCAAGTGGTATGGATTTTGTTCGTCTTTTAAAGAGGATTAATATAGACGTTGTAAATATTACCTGTGGAAGTTTTGAAGAAAGATTCATAAAAAATGTCAAAAATTAAATTTCCTACGAGCTAAAATTGGTTTAATTTTGAGTTTTGTTTTTTTTTTTTATTAAATATTAGTGAATTTATTTTTTTGGTCTTAATTATTTGTAATATTAATATTTTTTTTAAAAATTATTATTTTGACAAAATTGTATATGTTATAGATGATTTTCTATTATTTCAAGATTCATTAGAAATATTACGGTGTTCAGCATCTTCTCTCGATGTCTTAAATGTCTTTGCAATAATTTTTAATATTTTCTAACATTTACCAATTACTTCATACAATTGCAATCTCCTCGGCGCCAACAGGTTTAGAGGGCACTTAACAAATTTCACATCACAAAATTGTCTTATGGATTTGGCTTTATTAAATATTCACAGGGATATATCCGATAAAACGGTTTTGAATAAGTTCGACAATAGTGAAAAATCTGGTCAGCTTATAAATTAGATTAAGCAAGTACCTATTTATAGGTAATTATAAATTTAAGAATTTAAAAATAAAATCTAGAGCTATTTATAATTAATAAAAAAGGTAAAAACTATACATTAAAGATTATGGTAAAATTTGACACTGGAATAAAGGTTCTATGGGTGATAAATCATCCGGACTCCCTCTTAAATATGTCGTTGCCATCACCCCTAAAGAAATCTGAATACGTGCCTGTCCTACTATGTCTGAAATAGGTATCTATTTTTTTTTTATATCATATATTTCAATTTTTAATCAATATTAAAATATATAGCGCTACCGTAATATTTAAGAAAATATCAAGTGAAAAACCATTTAAATGTAATTGAATTATTCAGATCAATGAATTGGAAAATGGATTGTAGGTTAGACAAATAATGTACTAGCTATAATGTCAAATATAATATTATATATTATACGATATTTGTTGTGCTAACCGTTAGTGCGTTTACACGTTTTAGAGTAATACGACACTCGTCTGTATCGAAGAAGACTGCACTACATTGCTGTCACCAAAGAGCTATAATAGGTACAGTATTATTATTATTATTTTTTTTGATTTATGTTCCTATTGACAAAACTCTCAGAGTTAAATTTCAGCAATTCACATTAAAATCAACTTGAAATGGACCAAGTATGTGTTTCATCAAATAAATATATCGGCCGTAAAAGTAGTCTAGAAATCAAATTAAAAAATTTCGTGAAAAAATTTAAAATTATATGGATTTTGTGTGTGATGATCATAGCGTTGCAAAATTATACCATTAACCAATATGCTCGAGCAGTCTTAAAACTAACAATAATACAGGTGAGTAAGTTTAATAGTTTATATATAGAATTATTTATATAAAACAAAAGTTTAGAAAAAACTCTAAATTTCTTATTATAATATTAAATGTATTATGTATTTATTTATGGAAAATTGAAATCTCCATTTACAAAATGTTAAAATTGTATTCAAACAAAAAAAATAAGTAATTACAATTAAAATTGTATATTAGTAATCCCCTATTTAACATTGAATTAAATTATGTGTGTATTTAATTACATTAATATTACATATTAAAACAATTTCTATGTGATGATAATTACTGATTGATATAATTTACTTTATTATTTATAATTAAAAAATAATTAATACATCCATTTTTCAAAGAAAAAATAAATAATTTGTATAGTTTTACATGTTGCACACAGTTACACACATTTTAAAGTTAAGTTTTCTGATAAAAGATTAAATAAATTTAATAAATATCAAATATTTCATTATTATATCGTAATTTAAATAGACAACTATACTTACTACTAATATTTAAAGTATTCAAATTATAATAGATCGTACATTATCTGTTTAGAAATAGCCAGCTACAGGTTAGCTTTAAATTATAATTAAACTATCGATTTATATAGGTATAGAGAAGTATGAAATGTGCAATAAAATTATGTAACACCTATGCCAACAAAATTGACTTAATCTTTAATAGTATAACTATACATTTTGTTAATGCATTGATAGAAAGCATCCATAATTATTATTAAATATTTTTTCCTTAACTGCGCAAATATATTAATATTTACCAAAATGCACATTTTATCAAACAATTTTAAATTTTCATGTTATGAATGCAATTTTAAGATTAAGGATTACTTAGTAGGTGTATAATATAGTACTACTACTCAAATAAAAATAGAATCACATGCACATTTATTCTTTAACATTATGATATTATAATAAAATAATTAAAACCAATTTTTTTTAACCTATACAGTTTATAGACTTGGACAGTTTCAAAAATTTACTACAGGATTCATGTTTAATATACAAAGAAATTCCAAAGCGTGAACTCACCAAATCTGATTGTTATGCAAGTATCTACCTATATATAAACATTTAAATGTATTATAGGATTGACATTTTTAGTAAAATTTCAAAAAAAAAACCTAACCTTTTAACCTGTTTAATTTAGACATGTGAAATCATAGAACAAGTAGACATTATCCAGCATCCAGAGGAAATTTTAGAATTTTATGTAGATCTCGATTGGCCTGTAGCATACGAAAGTAGTATTAAAACCAACATCACTATAAAAGAAATTGCTCTTGTGTGTATTTTTGTGTATATGCTCTCTATGAGAAAATAATTAAATATTACTTTATTTTTTAGACTCTTTTAATCGGAGACTTTTTACCTTGTGATTATGAATCAAACCTAAAAATTGATCCTCTCCGAATTTTGGATGTTAAATCCAAATGGTTTATGCATTGGTTAGTATGAATATATCTTACATATTAAATATAATTGACTACAATTGAATTTATTTTTAAACTAATTTTAATAACAAAAACAAAAACGTTTCATTCAAAAGTAGTTTTTAGTTAAATATACAAGAGGACATAAATTGCAATTTTGTCGTCTTTTTAAAACATTCTGAGTTTTTCAAAATGTCTCCGTGTTAATGGAAAACATTTAAAATAAACGTTATTCGTGCAATAGTGTCCCAAATTGATTTAGATAAATAAGTTTACCTTTATTTTCTATATTTTTAAATAAAAATAAATAGATATCTACCTAAGTTTCCCGAAGTTAGAAGTAATTTGAGACAAGCACATTTTTAAAAAAGTCTAAATGAATCAACATTTTTCATTGTTAATCCTAGCTTAACTCAAGAACAGAATTTTTGGTTCTCATTGTTTTATCATAGTTACCTACTATAAAAATTAAAAGTTCTAAAGACCTGTAAATAATGAAATTGTCCCAAGTAATCCAAGTTTTATATTATATTTTAATGAAAATTATATATAAAAGCAGGTATTATAATATATGTTTAATTCAAAATCACTGCATACAAAATACAAATTTAGGTACAATTTTAAAAAGTTTATATAATGTCCCTATAGGAAAAAAAATCAGGCTATTTGCTGACACAATAGTTAAGCCCCACGTAGGTAGATACTATATTCTTGTTGGCAATTTAAATTTCAATACTTACAATGTTGATTCTACATTTTTTAAAAGGTGCAATATGTTTTCATAAATATCATATTATGATACTATATCTCAACTTCTAAATAAATAATGTATTATTGGATGATGTTTTGTTATTTTGTAAATTACAAAAAATATCAACTGAAATAAGTATTAATAAAGTGAAGGTAGGTAAATATTATTAAAAGAAAAATATTAACTAGAAAATAAATAACACAAAATTAATTAATTAACAAAATTAGTTATAACTCTTGATTGATGTAGATTCACACTTGACAGTTGTTTGCATTCTTAACATGCTATTGTATAAGGTGGTATGTTAGTATATTATGTGTACTGTATAGGTATGCTCATGAGCAAGGCAAGGAAGTCCATAGTAATGTTATTACTTCCTAGGAAGTATAAACTCGGTGAGACCGGCTCATCACAATTATATTATAGATATTAAGTTAAAAAATAATTTGTTTTTATTAAGTTTATTATATGATAAATATTTATATAATATTTGTGTTTTATGGAAACCAAACATTTTATTTTCTTAAATAACAAACTATAATCGTTTTTAATTTTAAATTAAAGATTTTTGAAAAATCTTAGTACCTATGTGAAAATATCGTCGTTCAATGAACTTAAAAATTTCAAAAATCAGAATTTGATTTTATGCATAATTTAATTATAAAAATGGAATAAACATGCTTAAATCGTTCTGTGTATTATATTATATGCTTATATATTTATAAAAAAACATTATGTAAGTGTTCTTAAAAATTATCCTTATTTCATGGTAAAATCATTTGACTACCACTAGATTGTTTAGAATTGTTTAATCTTAAAATCTTAATGTTTTTTTTGATACCACATGCACGGGAATTAGATTGTTCAAGAGTTTCAAAAGTTAACTGAAACTAATATTTCTTTATGAAATTACTAAATATCAACTATTTCTATATTAAAATAGTTAAACTGTTAATATTAATAAAGTACAGTCGAGTCACAACACAAAATAATTCCAACCTTGATAATACGAAAAACTTGTCGAGTTGAATTATTTTTTAGCCCATGGAAATCATCGTAAAACTCATATAATGTTTCTCAAATATAAAATAGTGAAAAATGATTTATTAGCTGTAATAGTAAACAGCTTATTGATTTCTTAGAATCTTCAATTAACATATCCTCAAGTATTAAAATAGACATTAAGATCATAAGATTTAAAATAGGTCCTGAACGATTTATAGTAGTGCTTTGTATATTATTTTCATATTGAATTCATGCAATCTTTTTGATATTAAATATTAACATATCACCTCCACTAAATATTATCCAAATGGCCTCAAAATTTGAGAATTTTTTTATTATGTGATACAAAATATATGTGTGCCCCATATATATATATCATTTTTATGTTTTATAGAAACAAAACTATTTTATTTTCTTAAATAACAAAATATAATCGTTTTTATTTTTAAATTATTTTATACTTTAATACGTATTGAAGATATTTTCACTATTTTTAGATTAAATCATTTACATTAAAACTACTATGAAACAACTCATTCAAAAAAGCACCTAATTGATGGCAATAAATGTTAAATTAAATTTATAAGTACTGTAATAAAAGATTATTCACAAAAGTTCGTACCTAGGTTATATTTTATCATTGAATTATATTATAATTATAGGTATGAAGGTTCATCATAATTAAAATTATAAGTTACATAATGAAAGAAAACAATAAGTTGATTTGAAAAAATAAATATATTTATTGCAGTATTTTATCTATATCATATAGCATGCATTCAAATATGTTTTTAAGAAATATAGAAGGTAACCCTGTAGGCCGTAGTTTATAAAAATTATTACAATACCTATACCTTTATAAAAATGTTTAAATAATTATTATTAAGGCGAAATTGTGATGATATCAATGGCAAAACAATTCGATCATTATATAGACCTGATTTGTTTTTGAGTATTTCTTCTGAAACATGGACAATTATGTCATTCAATTATACAACTGTTCACTATAAAAAGGTATACGTATATTTAATTCAACCGACATTTTGTATTTAATATGATTTCTAATTAAATTTTAATTTAGATAAATGTGTATTATAACAGCAGAGTGGTCGTATCACAAATAAGTGGATCATTTAATTATCAATTGATGCCAAAATATCTTTGTAAAGAAATTTGTAAACCATTGAGTGGCCGATTAGAGACTTACAAAACCAATACACGTAAGTATAGTATATAATATAGTATATCACTTTCTACTTATTATACCACAAAATCTGTATTTTATTTTATTCTAGTGATCTTCAACAGTTTCATTTGGGATTTTCAATATTTACCGATGAACATTTCTTCCGAGAGGGAGAAAGCTTCCGTAGCTATTATTTATTATTTAGATTAAACAAATGAAAATTGAAAGTATGAATAAAAAGTACTTTTAAAAGTAGCTATTCAAATTTATATACCCACCTATTTCTTAATTAAATTATTCGTAGTTTATTATTTACTATTGTAGGTTATTTTTAAAACATAAAAAAAACACCTAGTTTTGACTCAAAGCCATATACTGAAAAAAAAAGAGCTGATAGGTACTATTAATGGGTGTTCCACTCATGTAGGTGGTAAGTTGAGAAGGTAGGATAAAGTATCACATTTATATCTGCATAAAATAATAAATTATTTCTAACGAAGTAGGATTTTAAGAGAAGTTCATTTATAAATGTTTTTAAATGCTGTAATTTTAAAGATTTTTATCAAAATTTTAACTTAAAATTCGTACAAAAAGAAACTACTATACATTACGCTCAACTTTTTGTTTTCGCTATTAAGTACAACATATAATAAAAATGTATAAAAAAAACTAATATTAGTATTTATGTGAACGTTTCAGGTTTCTGCGATTAATTTAAAAAATACCCCCCCAAAAAAAATAAAACGAAAATAATAAAACTATTAATGCGATAAACAACGTAAACATTCACGTTTTTCCTAAGTTTTTCTTGGTTTTTCCCGATTTCTATGAAAACTAATAAGAAAATCAAAATATTACTTCTAAATTACACCAATTAGATCTGAAATGCAACAAAAAGCTCTCTTGTCATTTTTTGAGCAATATTTTGGTAGAAAATTGTAAAAAAAGTAAAAAAAAAAGTAGAGATATTATATGTTAATGTTCATCTGTTTACAAATTCACGTACTATGCCGAAGTTCCATTCGCTGCTGTATTGAGTTATCACTTAAGAAGTGAAAATTTTAGATTCGGAAGGTAACAAGGATCTATTGATTTTACTATGTGTGCTTCTTTTTCTGTCTGTAACCAACTTTTTGAAAAGAAATCTTGCTTTGATGTATGGAGATCAGTATTTTTTTTTAAAATAAAATTTTGTCTAGTGATGCATTAAATTGGTTATTTTTTGATTTTCCAAAGGGTTTTCGAAATTTTTGGGAAAAAACAGAAATAAAATTAAAGGTAAAACGTAAATATTTACGGCATTACTTTTTTCATTATTTTTAATTTTGTTCACTAAATTTTCTACTAGAAATATTGATCAAATCAAAATATGACAAGAAATCGATTTTGTTTTTTTTTTAATAATATATAGTTCGGTGATAGAGAAAGCTATTTTTTTATCTAATGTATTTTTTATAATAATTGGGAAAAACCAAAAAGACGATTTTTTTCAAATTACAACACAAGATTTTACTATTTAAAATTTTTACGGCACCTGTTTTGTACCATAAATATATTGCTCATATAGAAAACATCAAGCGATATTTTTTGTTGAATTTTTAACCTAGTTGGTGAAGTCATTTTTTGATTTTCCTTGTAGTTTTTTTTTATAATTGAGCAAAGGCGAAAAATACGTATAAAAAACAGGACAATTTACGAAAATATTAATTTTATTAGTTTAAATTTTGTTTTCTTAATATAATTCAGTTTAAAATATTCGTAGAGACCTAAAATGTTGACAGAAAACTTGAATTTACTTTTTCTAGATGTGGTAAAACTTTTGGAACACTTAAGCAATTTTTAAGCTATTTATAGACATTTTAACTATGCTAATTTTTACGTAATTTTTATTTGGTAAATACTCCTTAAATAAAATTGTTTAATTAAACAGTAATGCTTGAAAATTAGACATAATATTCAACATAAGTCATACTTATTGTTTATAACAAAAATTAAGTGTAATGTTTTTTTTTTTTTTTACTAAGTGTTTTAATATCAAAATTTGAGTAAAATCGTAAATTTCCAAACAGCCTTTCAAAACATAAATGACCGAACTTAGATCCAAATCGTTTTTCATTAACAATGGTTTATCATTTTATACAGGTGTAAATTAAATAACTTTGTGTATCACACTTTCCCAACTACCTATCTAGTAGCCACACCCGTCCCCAGTAACGACTCTTATTTTAGATTCTGAGTGAATGTATTGTTTTTACAATGATTATTTTTTATTTAATTTTTTATCAGGAGTGAAAGAAAATCTGACTGAGGTGGTACTTTAAGCAGGTCATTTTTTTGATTTTCCCTAGATTTTTCCCGATAAATGGAAAAATAGGTACAATATTAAACAAATATTATTTAAGGAAATGTTTAATACTTAACCTAACCTACCATAATATGACATATCTATTGTTGATAAAGTAACACTATCAACCGAACTCAGCTCTGAATCGTTTTTTCTTTAGCAATGATTAATCGTTGCGTACAGATATATATATTAAATTTCCATCTGTATCCTACCTTCCCAGCTTCCTACCTACGAGTACAACAGTGACTGCACCACCTGCACTCGTCCCCATTATCCTAGGACAGCTTTTTATTTTTACGATGCTTTTTAGAAGTAGGTATTTACTTTAGTACTTTTTTTGGCTCGAACTTGAAATTTTTCAGTTGGTATAATTTCGATAATATTACAAAAATAATAAGACATTTTTTTAGATCACTTATTAAAATTTATTAAAATTAAAATAAGTTCTGGAATACATGCTGCCTTGAAATTAAATAACAAACAGTAAATACTCTTGTCGATTATTATAAATAAATTTGATAGTAGGTACTGGGTTAAATTATTTTTTTAATTTAAAAACAATTTACACATAAGTATACAGTACATTGACAATTGGTCACGCAAGAAATGACACTGATTCACTGAATACTAGACAGATGGCACGAGTGCCACGATCAATACACAATTCATTCTTCTGACCAGATGACCACGCGACATACTCGGCCGTACTTATGGTGTAATGAAAGTATGTAACAAGAGAGGGAATACAGTTATTGTAGAGCCTTAAAAATAATGAATAACTGCTAGAAACGTGTTTGCGTTTACTGTTTAGTCGTTACTGAGTCAACGTACACGATGCCTGTACATTAAATCAAATATAATCATAAAAAATATTGAAGTAGTTTGTTTTTCTATAAGTTCTTCTATACATTTAACAAGTAAGTGCTATCAAGTTTTTAAAAAAATATTATTTTACTCTGGAAAATTGCATTTTTACATCAGATATATAAAAACTTAAATGTTACAGACACTTTTATTCCCAAATTATTATATTAAATAATTAAAATCTGTAAATATTTTTTTGTCTTTTTTTTAAAACTAAAATTAATTATTTTTTAATTCAGTAAAAATGTATTTTAAACTGCTTATTTAATTATTCCTGATGATTTTCTTATAGACATTTTCATTATTATTATGCAAATATAAATACATAATTACATTACTGCAAACTAATTTTGAAATGCAACACAATGCCATTAAAAAAATATATCTTCAATCTACAAGTTTTTAGATAGCACAAAATGTTTTAAGTAGATACAGTTATGGATGATGAACACCCTTAACTCCTTGAATATTATTCCGTTTTTCTTTTCATTTTTTTAGATGTTTTCCAAATAAATTATTATCAAAAAATGGCTTTCTCAATGCACTTACTAGATTCAAAATTTGTCCCCTAATCCAACCAATTGTCGAGTTTGAATTAATTCATTGGAACCCATCAGTAGCGCACATAGAGCAGGTTAAAGGGTTAGAACTCCCTCCCCCCCGAAATGTCTTCCGTCACTAAATTTGTTTAAATCAAGTTTTACATTTAGCAGCATAATATCGTATACCCCAGAAAATAATAATACAATTTATCACAATATTATAAATATTATTTAGTTTATATGAAATTTAAGTTATTTCATCATTTCTTCGGTAATAATAGTAATAATACTTTACTAATAATAATATGTGCTATCCCCATTCTAGGACATTATTATAAGCACAACCCCCCCTTCCTTGTGCTACTGCATATGACTCTTCCTTACTTAGAAGCGTAAAGTATAGATTTTTCAGATTTGCTTCTTTCTCTCTTAAACTTGAGCAGCCACTACACTATTCTCCTGTTTTACGCTAATTAACACTTCATAACACATTTCTGGTAAAATAGTTGTTTCCAGACACAAAAAATAAAACACAAATTAATATTACAGTAAAACATAGTAATATATCCCACTTTTTGCTCGAAATCTAAAATACCTATGTATATGTATAGTTTTTTGATGCGTTTTTAACAGAAAATTACTTTTATCAAATAAATTATTATTTCCTAAGACAGATTTAATTTTAAAATAATATTCACTTGTCAATTTATAATTGGTACACCAATTTAATACACAATTAAACATATAATATCTATAAATGTTTTATGGCTTAGTTAATTAGTTTAGTGCCGGTATTTATATACACTTAATAAATAAATAACTATACCTATATCTATAGATTTCTATGAAATTAAAATTTAACCAACTGTAATTTAATCTAGAATAATAAATTTGTTTATGTTCAACCTTATTCTTTTTAGTTAAGTAGTATGTAAATCAAACACGATTAAAACATACAATTATTGAATTTAAGATAATATATAATAAAATATATAATACACCTATAAGTGACTGTCTTAATTTAAAAAAAAAAAACAAAAAACATTCTAAGTTAAATATTTTTTATTGACTTAATTTATCAGATAAGTAAATCATAATCATAATAATAGGTAATAGATAATTTATCTGGGTAAATCCAAACATTGCAACTGACACATGTTATGATATAAAAATTTTAAGTAGGGTTGAGCAACGGCACGAGCCGATATCAAATATCGGCTGATTTTTCCAATATCGGAAAATCGGTTATCGGTTTTTTTTTTTAAAACCTAAATCAGCCCTGATATTTTTCAAAAAAAAGGTACTCAACTTGAGAAATACTTTACTATCTTCATATAATATTTTATGAATACAATATATATATTTAAATTATATCATTGAAATCGGATATAAGAATTTTTTTTAAGATATTGAATAATTTGAATGTCGGCTCATGGTTTCAAAAAAACACTGGATTTATATTGGTAGCAAATATTTGAATATCAGATGTCGGCAAAAAGTAGTATCGGTTCACCACTAATTTTAAGTAGTCAATTTATCATAATACATTTACATCATTCAACAAGTAACTTATTTTACTATTGAAATTAAGAAATTACGGAGTGATTACATGACATAATTTTAAAGTACCTAGTACTTATTTTGAGTATTTTCCAAATACACTCATGAATATGAAATCAAATTAAAATATCTAGGTGATTGACTGTATTTTAGGATTAGAGAAAATTAGTAATTGGCAATCTAAGCAGGGCGGCGTTTAATGGGGGGAGGGGCAAGAGGGGTGACGAATTGTATGGCATTTAGAGGGGCAGTAAATTTGTATGAATGTAGTTACATAGTAAACCAACAACTCCGTAGCCAAAATATATTTTGTCCATGGGTGGGAGTTTAACTCAATGCAGCACTAAATCTAAGAAATTAAATTTTATAAATCAAACAAATTATATTGTTATTAAGAGCATGACGTACAGCCGTAGCACATACTATAATATTGTGCTATTTGCTAGTACTACCAACGTATTCAGATTTGAATTAATTATATTATAATTCGCTTACCACAACGAAAAAAGTTGTATCTCACTTTTCCAAATTTTTAGAATTTTAGATTTGGATCGTAGGGAGGTATTGGTTTTACAATGATGTTATATTTTTTTTCTGTGACCAGTTTTTCTACCAGAAATCTTGCTCTAATGTGCTAAGTGTAGCACCTTTTCTGAAAGGAAATTTTACCTATTTTAACCTATATAATTTTACCTATTATACTTAAGGAGGTCTTTTTTTATTTTTCTAAGCGATTTTTATGCTAATTGGGAAAAAACTGCTGAATTTACAAAATTTATGATTTTCAATTTCGTTTTTTTGTTTTAATTCAGTTAAAAATATTCGAAGAGACAGCAAACTTATATTTGCCTTTTCTAGACTTGATAAAATTTTCAAAACATTTGAACTAATTTTTTAGTTTTTTTATAGACATTTTGTGAGTTTTTTTATGTAATGCTTAATCGGTAAATACTTTGTGGATAAAATTGTTAGACTGAACAGAAATGTTTGAAAATTTAACAGGAGGTTCATTATAAGTTGTACTTTAAGACAAAAAAAAAATTGAGTTTAATATATTATTTTTTTGTATGACAATTTTAATAACAACATTTTATAAAAATCATTACGGACTTTTAAAACATGACTTATAACCGAACTTCGCTCCAAATCCTTTTTCGTTATCAATGGTTTATTAATGCGCGCGAATATACATTAAATTCTTCTCTATATCCTACTTTCGCAACTTCTCACATACAATAATGGCCCACCTGTCATGAGAAGTATGTCTGTCTCTTTTAAATTTTATATTTAGTATTTTTGTTACAAAAATAAATAATAAATACCTATTTGTTTTATACAATTATTTTAATATAATTCGTCAACTACACAAATATTTAGTATTAGCATTGATTATTTAATTATAATATTAGGTACCAAGTAGATTAGTTATTAGGTAAGTACCTATCTATATATACATTTCACTATTATATTAACCTTTACCTTTATACATATACATAAAATTGCACTGAATTATGTTTCCTTTTTATAACCTACAGTGGCGTATTTAGGTTTTCTTCGTCTATAAGCACTAATCAATTTGTCGCCTTTTTCACACTATTCCTCTATAATTATTTATAAAATATATTTGAATAAACGATTGGTTAGTGTGTTCTATAAAAAAAAAAAGATACGTTATAAATGAAAATTAAATTGTAGATACTTAATATCTTGTTTTTCAATTTACAAATTAATTGTATCTATTTAAAATTATATATTTTTTCTTCTTTTGCCATCTCCAAAATTTCGCCGCTCTAGACCCAAGCCTATGGGGTCTGTTCCTAGATATGTCTCTGTGTACCTACTTAAAATACATTAAATCAAACTTGCGTATTGAGAACGTTATCATGATGGTATTCGTATTTTGATCACGAATTAATAAGTACTAGCAGCATAGTAGCAATATTAGGCATGATGTTTGTCACGCAGTACTTACCTATATTCACAATTACCACGTGAATTGAATAATATAGTACTGCACTGCCGGTTCATTGTCGTTCACCGTTATTTTAAAAAAACACGGACATTATGTTTTTCATAAAACATATTTGTCAATAATTAATTTTCGAAATTTATATCAAAGAAAATTTTAGTATATAATACTATAATGTTGTCATTAGAAATAAAAAAGTATTGAATTATGAATACAATCAATGTTTAGGATCCGGTGTACAACATACATCTAATCGTTCATTATTAAATTTTCTCCGATTGTTGTAATAAGAAAAAAATCTATAAAAAGAAACTGTACTTTCGCGGGGTCAATAATTGGCTTTTATAACAATAAATCACGGCAATCCGATTCGTCTGACCATTGTTGTACAACGTGTTTGAGTATAATATTATAATACAAGGAGATAACAAAGCAAACATGTTTAAATAAAAAAAAAAAAAAAAAAAAAACAATTCTTGACAATTAAAACGACAGACGGGTGTGCTGGAATAATAATGTTAGTATATCTACCTATCATATTATAATTATTGTTAGAAGGTCAAGGACGCTCAAGAGAATCTAGTTTATTAAAGAAGAGTGAAGACCAGTTTTTTCGACTCCGTTACATATTTTGTTTCTTTACTTATATAGAAGATATTAGTGGTGGATCCAAACCTTAATTCGAAGAGGGGGACAATTTATAATAACGAAAATTGGTATATATTTTACCAAAATACAAGACCAAATTATACTATTAATCGTAATTTGACTTGATATTTTTTTCTAAAAGCAATGCATAAACAGTTGTAGCGCGTTACTTAAAAACTTTGGAAGAGATCATTTTTTTGTTTGCTTATTTACTTTTTTTAAGTAAAATTTAAATAATTGAATAATCCTCGGATCAATATAACGTAAGAGGTAAGATACTCACATTATCTTGGGAAATATAAATTTTTTAAAGAAACAACCTTAAAATATTACATTATCTTTTTTTTTTGTGTACCCTTATGATGAATTACATTACCATATTTTAATCTTTAATTGTAAACCTTTATGTAAAAATTCCATAAAAAAAATGAAATTTTAGTTTAGATATATTTCGGTATTGAAATGTTTGATTTTCGTCAAGTTGGCATTTAAGATAGATATTTCACATTAAAATTTGTCGTTTTGAGAGTAGCAGGAGAGTAGAGAAGCATTATTCAAACGCCGAATGCTGTGTTACCATACAAATAACGTTCTATTACTTTCCCTCTATATCTAAACTTAAAAGTGAAATATTTCGTCAACGGGTTTAAAGAAATTAAAAATATCACCACTTTAATGTATTAAAATTAAAACTTCATCTATTTATGAAATTTTCAATATAGGTTGCAGTTGAAAATCAAAAGTGGGTATTCACCTCCAAAAATAAACGTGACGTAAAAAATGAATATAGATAATGCATAATAGAGCTGCTTGTTTCTTAAATCTTCCGAAAGAAAAATTTCGAAAAAAGTTAATACTTTTCGAGATAATGAGTGTTTTATGTACTTCTTAATCATCCGGTAAATAATAATTATAAATCTTGTTCTTCTCCTTTGCCTTCATCTCAATTATTTGGAGTTGTCTACCTTTATGAACGTAACTTGGACAATTTGTAAGGGGAAGGGGCAAAATTAATTTAGTTTTAGTATACCTAAAGACTTTAAAACATGATTAATGATTATATTAATAAAAGTATAAAAAAGTTAAACCAGTAAATTATTAAAATTAAAATTAAATGTTTATGTCAATTGAAGTTTTCTTCTTCTTTATGTCGATTCTGCATTCAACTGATTAATAATTGTATTAAAATGAATTTCACAAGCTTTTTCAATTTGTGAAATTGTCATGTTACTCAGTCCTTTTTGTCCAATTTAGCAGACGCGGTATTTAGATCTCCCTAAATTCCTATATCCCCGTATAGGGGCCATGCGCTCCTACACATCAATTTACCTATAAATAATAATTTATTTCAGAAATCTGTATAGAAGTCTGGAGTGTTAATAAATTATAATCGCAGCCTCTGCATATAGTTGTGCTATCCCATTAAGTAGTTGGGGGTCACATTAGCTGACTGACGTCTAGTCATGTTAGTTAAAAGTATAATTTTTGGACCAAAAGAATATTGACCTCTCCCCTAGAAGATGAACCGAATTCGCCACTGCAATATGCTGTATAAACAACATTGGGTTTGGTTCATCTATGGACTTACTCTATGAGTTTATCTCAAAGTACGACCGTATTATCAACGTTCAATATAGAAATGACACTCGATCGGGTGATTATTGAGTTACGAAAAACGTTTCTGTCCGGTTGGGATATTTATATAATAATGCCGTAATAACGTAAAAATAATGTTCAATACATTCAATGTTATTTCTGAATACATTTATTGTGTTTCGGTTATGGTTACCTTCGTCCTAAAATTTCACTTGACCCTATCCCACACATTGTCCTTACATACACCTGCCGTCCCCATGTCATTCTTAATTGCATCCAACCGGGGGCGAACGCAAAAAAAATGTTAAAGAGGGGGAGGGGTACCAAAATTACTTATTATGGAGATTAATAATTTTGCTCTATTTGATTCTATTTTCGCTGTTGTGTAGAATTCATAAGTTGAACAACAGTTTTTTTTACTACTTTATACAATATTACAGAAATTATTTGGTCAATTTATTAAGTTAGAGTACTATTTAGATTTGAGATGATTTTTCACAGAGAATCATGAGAATCGTTATATTTAGTAAATGCTTTAATAATGATACTCAGAGTAATACATTTTATCTTGTCTACCCAGTGGGTATAATAAATATTCGTAGATTAAAAATACTATCAATAACTTTCCTTAACATTTTTGTATTAAAAACATTTTTTTGTTTAACATTTTGTTTACTGACTGTTAAATACTAAAATGACAAGGAATAAAGTGTATTATAATTCATATTTTTTATAGCTAGTAATTTTTTACTTTTTATTTAGGTATCAAACGCATAATGTTAAAAACCCAATGACTCTCCATAAGAACGTAATGGCACTGCAACAGCATTTAACTTCAGTTCTATGTCTCAGTCTATGTTTAACAATTGAGGTAGGTTGAAATAAATTTAATTAATTAATTTTGTTTTCTCAATGCATAATATTTGTATTACTATTTTAGCTGGCTTATGGTTCCCATTTGAGAAAACAACGAGAAACAACACTAATGCAATTCATTAAGTTACTATTCTATCGATTAATTTACGGTTTTGCTAAAATGATTGGTTTGGGAGAAGTGGTTGAAGAATTTGGAGATGGAATACTAGCTCCTCCAGACAGTGATTACAGACTTGACATAGTTGATGATAATTATGACAATAACGAAGATGATGATTATTATGACGATGATGAATATTAATTTCAAGTTATGAGCAACAGACAAATGTTTATTTTATCTTTATGTTTATATTCACAATTGTTAAAAAAAAATAATACAAATGTGCATTTTAATAAAAACTATTTAATTATAATCAAATTGAGGGATAATATATTAGTACACGTAATATACTAATAATAATTTTGTAAAATCACGAAAAGACAGATTTCTCATTGATAAAATTACACATAATATTTAACATTGATATCGTATAAAAACTAAAAAAAACAATGACTTTAATTTATATATTTAATTATAAGTTATCTGCATTATTTATAAGTTATTTGAAAGGATTTTTGAAAATGATAAAGTGAGTAATTATAGTATACTTACATTTATTTTTAATGTCAAAATTATAAATATAACTAATAGCCTAATTAAGTTTAATTTATTTTAGTTACTATTGTCCCCTACGCGAACATTTTTATAAATTATTCAGGAATAATAGAATTGTAATTATATCTAATTAAATATATAAATATAAAATATTGACACTTTTAAATTGTAAATATTATTATAGATACACACGGAAAATAATAATATAATTAATTAAAATTACAGAGGTACCTATAAACTATACCTACAACTAAAATATTTCATGAAAATAGTATAAGGTATTATAGCCTATAAGTAAGTTAATTTAAAAATTGTGCGTTTTTAAATTATAGAGTAATACTAATCACTCTACACTTTAAACTCTGTACTCTATGAGTCAATGACCAAAGAAATTAAGAAATAGAGTCTGTGCTTAAGATATCTTAATTTGTGGTCTATATTGTTAGCTTATAAATCACGGTTATACATATAAATGCCTTAAAATAACGTCACATATCTACTGTCTCAGTCCAACTACCGGGCAACATGCAAAAACAATGCTTATGTATTATTTTGTATGTTTATGTGTGCTTTATTATATAGAAGTAGCTTAATTTTAATTTTAGAGTAAAAGTATCTATTATGAAATTTATAGTGAATAATATTTTGGAGGAAATGTCATAGGTGTTTTTTTAATTATGAACTAGGTATTAAAATAGTGAAAAAAAAGAAGGTTTTTGTGCCTTTTATACCGAGCTGTATATTTAGAACAATACAAAAATTCGATGAGGTTCCTTCCAAAATATTGTTTACTATACATTTTATAATAAGTACTTTTACTGAAACTTGAAAAAACCCACGGAAAAAAATAGACCTTGGCCTTCCACGTTTTAGATTCTGAGTGGAGCGAAAAAGCTTATGGTTTTACAAAGATGTATATTTTTTTTTTTATCTGTGCATAAATTTTCTATCAGAAATCTCGCTCCGATTTTTAAGTGTAGCATCTTTTCTGAAATGAAATCAGATTGGGGAGGTACTTTAAGAAATTCATTTTTCGATTTTCCCAGATGTTATCCTAGAAAATGAAAAAAACTGGAAAATGTACGAAATGTAGGTATAAGTAAAAAAATGACGTCCTGGTCGGGTGCAGCCGCTGTTATAAGTAATTTAATGTATACCTGTAAGCAACAATAAATCATTGATAATGAAAAAACGATTCTGAGTGGAGTTCAGTTGATAGTGATGCATTGTTAACAATATATATGTCATATTATGGTAAAATAATTAAATAGACATTATATATTTCCTTTAATAATATTGGTTTAAAAAAAATATATATATATATATTTGTAAAACCAATGCATTCTTCGCTACACTTAGAATCTAAAAATATTATTATTGCTATTGTGTTACTTGGAAATTTGATGATACATAAAATCTTAAAGCAGTTAGCAGTTGTAATATGGGAGTAATTGGTAAACCACTTTTGGTCGAATAGCTTAAATTTAAAATCAGGTCCAACAATACCTACATCTACTACCTATTGTTTCTCTGGGAAACCTATTATTCATTATTATAATGATATTATTATGCATTTTGTTCATTATTTTATTACAAAAATATAAAAACTATATATTTTATAGAATTCCGAATCCCGTCTTGGCGTAGGTTCTTCAACGAATTGAATAAAATCTATACATTTTATTAATTCCTCCATTTCACAATAAATAAACAATAAAAAAAAAATACTTTACCTATATAATATATATATTTGACAACAGTTTAATTAAAAATAAAAATTCAAATTATATCTTTATAAATTAACATCAAAATGAACATTTACGGGATGGTTAGATGATGAATATATTGACCATTTAACTTTACGGACTATTTTATATATCAAAAGACCTATAATTATAACTATGCAATGCAAAGTTGCGGGAATTCTCTTATGTGTTACCTAAAATAAATCATTTAAGTGTTACTTAAAATGACTATGCATTTTGTAGTATGTATTATTTATTGTAAGTAAGATGATTTTTATTTGTAGCATTTTTTATTTGTACTTTTTGTCTAGGTAACAAGATTTTTGATGTTTTTAAATAATATTAAGAACGTATTTGATTTATTAAATATTAATTTTATTGAATCAAAATAGATAAAATGATAAATAAGTATGACTGTTTAAACGACTGTTATTCATATCATTATAATGATTATGAAATAATTAGTTATAGTATTATTTAGTTAAATACCTATAAATATTTTGTTTGTTAGATACCATTGTAGGATAAATTAATTGTAATTGTTTAATTGTATTAACTAGATACCAATAAGTACTAAAATCAATTTAAAACACTTTTGTCTTACTAAACACATATTACATTACAAATTGTAAGTTCATATAGCATGGAGCATGATCATATCATGTTATTATATAACATAATAACTAAATATAATTTTATTGATATAATTACCAAAAATCAAGTCGAATCTATCTTGCTAAAAATCATATTTTTAATCAAAGTTAACATGTTAAATGTGTCATGACTATAGATAAAGATGATATAGTACAAATTATTTTAAATTAAGATGGAGGCCAGACTGAACTCAGAAATATCTTTTAAGATAGTTTCAAACGCATAGTTCTCCAAGTCGTGTTCTCCACATGAATTCTGTCAAGTACGATTCCAGAATATTTCTTTTGGTTTCAAGGCTCTTTTTATTTCCCCATTTAGCAGAACCCCACAACATTTCAATGTTTTGGTCGTGTACCCTTGTGTCCGGATTACGATTTAAAATATATCGTAAGTATATCTTAAACCGTGGTCCGGATTAGCTTAATTATAGGTGTGGTTAACAGTTTTTCGTATTGTTTGGCGGGGCGATAAATTTATAATGTCATACTGGCAGGGAAATAACAAACAAGTACCGATATTATCTACGGTCGTGACACGTTTTAAAATTTAGTTTCCCGGTCAAATATTTTGCTTGTTGCATTTATTAAACAGTGTGACTATTTTTGAAAAATTGTTGAAATATGACAACATATTCTTTTATTTAGATATTAGCACACTGTATTTTCCATATATTAACCATACTCTTTCTTTCAGAGTGGAGTTTTTGCCTGACTTTTTTCCATTATTTTCTTTATCTATGTTTCCCTCTTTATAGCTTATTAGTCTATAAATTTAACTGCCAAAACTTCTAAATTGATAATAATAAATTAGTGATAGTAAAAAATAACATTCATGATAATAATTATATTTGTATTATATTTCAAACCATTCATTTGTAATTTGTGTACTTTGTTATTTTCTATGATTTATAATTTGTTACAGTATTTGACGTGCTCTAATTTATAGAATTCAATATTTTTATATTTTTATAATAAGTAGCTAATACATATTTTTTTTTTATCAAGCTCAAACATTTACTTATAGAAATATTTTATGGTAAGTTTGTGACTATTTACAATAGACTACTACAAATAACAATCATATATGAAGCTAGACATTTTCATTAAAATGTTCCAATATAACATAAATATGAACATTTCCAACAATTATCTCATTTCAGTAATGCAAACAATGAATTATTTAGATTTTATTATTTGATATTATTTTATACTAGGTATCTATTAAAGTTCTATATAGTACATCATCTATAAAATTATTTTTTTTTTTATGAAAAATTTAACAAAAAATTGTATACATTTATGTGGAACTGATTAGTCTAACCTAAAGGTACTAGATTTTAATTCTATTTATAATTATAATATTTACTAACTTTGTTGGCACAATTTTTAAGTAAATTATTTTGGTGTGTTAATAGATATTGTATACATTTTCATTTTTTTAGTGTAAAAAAACAAAGTCTAAATGGAAGATTTTGATGTACTTAGTTATTGCCGTCAGCTACGTAGCTTAAAACCACCTCCATATGAATGTCCAGTAGCTGATTGTGACAAAGTATATACAAGTATGACTGGTTTTCAATATCACCTTGCTCACATTCAACATAACAGTCCTATACCCCCATTGGATTTGGGTGGAAATGAACCAGCTAAACAAATTGTTGCTGCTACTCCAGTTCCCAATAAAGCCAAAAGTATAAATAATTAAAATATTTTTTACAGATATTTAAAATTCATAATTCTATAATACAGGTAAAAAAAAGAAAGGAAGAAGAGTAACATTTACAACCCTTCCAAGAATAAATCATCCTGAAATTGTAGAACCAGTTACTCCTGTTCATTTATCAAAAACATTATGTGAAGTTGAAGTTTCTGATAATAAAGTTATACGGTTTAATGCTGAAGATCATTTACCACTTATTTCAAAGGACGAATACTTGAAACAAAAAAAAGATATTAAAACTCCCTATAGAGTATGTTATTATTTTATATTACTACCTATAATGTAAACCATATTTTATTTGATTTTTAGACAACTTCAATTCTTTCTTCTTTATCAAAAAGTAAAGAAGCCGTTCAAAATTTACCACAAGCTGCATTTAAAGAGGTTGATAATTATGATATTCCTCATGCTCCGCCCATGCCCAATTCATATATAAGGTATTTGAAACAATATATAATATAATATATATATATATATATATAATATGCATAAATAACATTTAAATATGTATTAATTCCTATTTTCTTTGACCTCTACTCCGATTTATTTGAGGTTGGTATTGAAAATATGTTTCGGTATTATTTTATCTAGATTTATTGAAAAATCAGTTGAAGAATTGGATACTGAGGTAGAATATGATATGGACGAAGAAGATGCTGCCTGGCTACAAATTATGAATGAACGGAGAGTAGAATCAGGTTTGACAGAAATATCGATTGAATCTTTTGAGCTTTTAATGGATCGTTTAGAAAAAGAATCATATTTTCTTGTGGTATGTTATTTATTTTATTGTTTAAATTGTTGTTAAATAAAATTTTTACTTGTAAATTAATTATTTAGCAAATGAACAAAGAAATAGATAGTAGTTTGGCAGTTATTGACGATGAAGCTGTTTGTTCAATATGTTTGGATGGAGAATGTCAAAATTCAAATGTTATTTTATTTTGCGACATGTGCAACCTTGCTGTCCATCAAGATTGCTATGGTGTTCCGTATATACCCGAAGGACAATGGCTATGTCGGTAAGTGTTAAATGAAGTATTACATTATATAGGATATATAAATTGGTTTACATTGTTTGTATACATTTGTTTGATGAATTTTTAACTAATATATTTCATTTAAGTCGATGTCTCCACTCGCCATCATGTATGGTTGACTGTGTATTATGCCCCAACAATTGTGGTGCATTCAAGCAAACTGATCGAGGATTATGGGCTCATGTTGTTTGTGCACTGTGGATACCAGAAGTTAGGTTTGCTAACACTGTAAGTCAAATTGTATAAAAATATTTGTTGATATTTATTTTAAAATAATATTTCTAATTTGATGTATCTGATATAGGTTTTTTTAGAACCAATAGACAGTGTTGAAACGATTCCTACAGCTAGATGGAAATTAACGTGCTATATTTGTAAAGAGCGCGGGGTGGGTGCATGTATTCAATGTCATAAAACAAGTTGCTATGCAGCATTTCATGTTACCTGTGCTCAACAAGCTGGCCTGTACATGAAAATGGAGACTATATCTAATGATATTTCATCAATCGGTAATCATATTTTTAATTTAATAAATATTTTTTTAATATTAATTATAATTTTTAGGCGATACTGAACCGGGTACAGTATTAGTTCAAAAAATTGCATTTTGTGATGCACATTCACCTGCAGATTATTTAGCAGAAAGCCGTGGACGACAATCGCCTGGGGAAAAATTAAACAATGCTAGACGAGTTTTAGCTAAAAAACGTTCTGCTGCCCCAGTTATATCAATACCTACAATACCACCTGAAAGGTAAAATATGTATTATTTTAAAATTGTTTCATCATAACATGTAATTTAAATTTTTTAGGGTTACAGAAATAGCAAACTTGTTGTCTACACCAAAAAAAGGTCAGTTTGTACAACGTTTAATTGCTTATTGGACGCTGAAAAGACATTTTAGGAATGGAGTCCCACTTTTGCGACGTTTACAAACTAGTCAAACATCTAATGTATCACGGCGTGAAGAACCAATTGCTACAAATGGAAACGAAGACGATCTTGTAAGTCCTTGAATTAGTAATTTTGAATATAATGAATAACGATTTGAATATAGGGAAATATTTTTTAAATTAAGTTAACTGTACATAAAACAAAGATAAATCAACAAAATATTTTTCACTTAAATTATTATTCTTAATTTTTTTTTTTTTTTGTATTGACTGAATAAATATATGCATTATTTTCTTGTTATGAGGAAATAATCTCTTCATTAGTACTTTCATTATAATATATATATATATATATATACTAATATGTTTAGTACTATTTTTAAAGGGGGACTGTTAAAATTTACTCATTTTAAGTAAAAGGATTGTAAATGGATGTTAGTTTCTTACAAAATACTTGATAAAAAATCATGTTAAATTTTTTTGTTTAATTTTTATTTAGTATATTGTCACTGAGTAATACTTCCTTATTTGATAATTTACAAAAAATTAAATTTTAAAATATTTGAATTTGTTTGTCATTGAGAATTTTCATATATCCAGAAAATATCAGTGTTTGAATTGTTCAATACATATAATTAGGGCTAGAACTTAATGATCTAAAATTCTTGAAAAATAAAAAAAAAAAAATAATCAATGCATCAAAAAATGACATACAAATTAATATTTTATTTAAATTAAAAATATAATACTAAGAATTTTTCATCTTGCTTAAGATAAATAGTCTTTCTTTTTCTTATTTTTTATTTTTACTAATTAAACTAAAAATTAAAGAAATTTATATTAAAATTAGGTTCTTAAGCATATAAATATAAAATTATAAATGTGTTCTTACCATTAAATTGTGTTATATTGAATAATAAAGTATGGATAATATTTCCAAACAAAAAAGCTCTGCATTTGTCAGACAAGAGTTTTTAAACGCAGAAAGAAAAACTTTTTTCGCCTTTCACAGATGTTATTGGCGTATATTTAAAATAAGTGATGACGATCTGCAGTCATATCCTCTGGCAGCCATCTTTTGACATTGTTTGTCCATCCAATATATTGTAAATAATTTGCATTGTTTTATTTTTTATCCAATATTTTTTGTCAAAACAGTTTAAAATTTATTTTGAATTTCACAATTACAATTTTTACAGTTATAGATCAGACTTAAAACAAAAAAAAAATGCAAAATGAAATTTGTACCATTGAATTCTACATGACATAAATCAAATTTCTATAAAAACGAGTCTCGAATGTAAGCATTAAAATAAAAAATGCAAAAGCATCAAGTTCCGGACTTTACATATAAGTAATAAGGACAGCATCTCTTTTTGGAAGACCTCTTCATGTCTTAACATTTATTTTATAATTTTATAATTTATATTCTTTACAATAAAATATATGGCTGTTATCACAATTATCTACAGATTTGAATGAAATATATTGTTCTGTACTTTGAATATTTGTATATGGTTGAACAATTCCAAAAAGGTAGTGCTTGATATAAGCTCAACTTTTTCTGAATCTAAATGGCAAATAAATTATAAACCATCAATTATATAGAATTATAGCAGTTTTATATATTTGAACTTATTTTCTTTCATTTTAAAGACTGCCATCCTGTGCAGAAAGCCTGTTTAAATAATTTGTGAGGTAGAGTTAATATTTTACAATACATTTTTTGAATGAGTTGCATTGATTCGTATAAATATATTTATGCAATGCTGGTCAGATAAATTGGTTTGACTCTTGGTTCATATGTATATATAATTTTAATATTATAATTCTTGTATGTTTTTGTAATAAAAGAACTGTTTTTTAGTGTGTTAAAAATTATACTTATTTGTGGTGGATATGATTGGATAAAATTGATGAAATTATTAGTTGTGAATATGTTACTGGCAAAAGTGTTGAATATAGATATTTTATACCTTAATTTATTTGGCACTTTATTAATTTTTAAAGTTATTTTAAATTATGTCTTGGCAATATATACAATTCCTAGGATTTCTATAGAATGCCATTGTTATGTTAGATAAAGTATAAAGTATAAATAATTTTATGTATAAAGTTTTAAATTAAACAAGAATATGTTTATTATTTCATTATCTTACATTTTTATTAATTTATTGTTGCATACAGATGATATAACTTTCAGAATTATATAAAATATTACACTAACACATTTGTTGGTCTGATGTTTTATTTTACATTTTTTTATTAAATAAATGTTTGAAGTATTCAATAATCGTGTAATGTTAAATTTTTTTTTTATGATCATCTTTAAAAAGACAAAATCTTCATTTGTTTTATCTACCTTTCTAACAGGTAAACATATAACAAAAATGTGTCTTTGTATATCTATTAGTACACAGGCCTTGTTAATTACATAGTTTTGATTTTTGTGCCATGACATGAGAACTTGTACTGATTATTAAATTGTAGATTATAGTTTGTTTTTAATGTTTCTATCAAATCAAATTGATTTGTACTTGTATTTGGAAATTTTCCTTTAAAAAAAAATCATACAAAATTGGCAAATTTAGATTTTTTTAAAAAAAAAGTTCTATAGACAATTATTTAGTACAACTTCTGTTATTTATTTTTTCCACCAAAATCGAGTTCACAAATCTATACTACTAAGTACGAAACCATACCTTTGCTATATTGCCTTAACAACACTAAACAAACAGTGATGGTAAATGCAAGTTCCATATCCTCTTAAAGAAGTTTTATCCGTAGGACAAAATATTTTCTGACCTATTTAATTTGGTATAAATATTTTCTGACATCTTTATTCCATAATGAATATTGAAATAAAAAAAGTGACTGAATTTAAATTAGGAATTTTATTGTATATTGATTGTCTCCGTGATGTATTTTATTTATCAGTTGTATTAAATTTATTTTTATATCAATTCTGACATAATAAATAACTTTCTTTTAATTTATGTTATGACTATTTTTGTTCAACAATCACCATTAATCCTTATTAGTTTATTAGTAAATGCATTCATTAAGATAAACTAAAAATATAGAATATTTTAATTGTATACACTTCCTATTGAAGTTTGTTATTCTATAGAATATCAAATTAAACACTTTGCCAGTAGCATAAATACTATCCACAGATTTTAAGCTGACTTTCTACTGTATTTTTTTTTTCTTTGTCTACTAGATATGAAATTTGATTATAAAAGTATATAAATTAAATAGTAGTAAATGAATTGATGATTAAGTGATTTTCTAAAATACAATATTTTATGCTATATGCAGGAATGAACAGTATTTAAGATAAGTATCTTAGATACATTTCAACCCTTAACATTTTTTAACTGTATGTATCTGTATGTATGTATATAAAGATACTTTTTTCTATGATGTATCTTGTATATTTTTTTTTTGTGTGTGTGTGTGTGTAAAGATAAAGATACAAATAAAAATACATTTTTCTAAATTAGTCTTATGTCATTTCCATAGCTGACTGATGGATTTACAAAATTAGTGAAAATATGTTTTGTAAACTAATTTTTAAGATTCTGCATTTCCTAGTTAAGTAATAATTATTGTTGGATTTGTTTTAAAAAAATATATTAACATATAAAATTGTTAACACAGATTATGGTGTATTTCATTATTTGTATCTTATATCTAAAGGTTAAAAAAATAAAAGTGTCTAGTAAATTTTTGAAAATGTTTAATTTATCTAGTATCTTGTATCTTATATTTTGAAGTATTTTGGCTTTATGGAACTTTTACAACATAAATATATAATATACAAACTACCAGACTAAAACTACTTTTGAAAGTTTCGGGCTGCTAGTTACAGGATTAATAAATTGTTATTATTATTTTTATATATTTATGTATTATGTATATAAATATGATAGAGTAAAATTCTTAAGCCTGGTAAGAATTTAGTCACAAATCATATGGGTTATGTTCTTCATCATCCTCTACCTAACATTTCATACTTTTCACTACATGGTTTTTACCAGTTGAATGTCGTTTAAAAATCTCAAGGTTCTTTTCTTAATCTAATATTTGCTAACTCTATAGCTCTATCTGTGCCATGAGCCCATGATCTGCTGTTCCTCCTAATGCTTAGTATCCCTCCCCTATCTCCTCTTGATTTCAATTGATCATATTATCTTATCACATGCCCTTGTCTAAAGATTATTCTCAAGCTGACTATAACTGCATAACTCACTTCTTTAATTCAGTTAATTGAGAACTCACTTTCTCTGTCTATAACGCCAATGATGCCATGGAAATGCTTGTTGATGTCATTCACTCCTCTAATTACTTTATTCATCATTAGGTTACTGATCATCCTTTTGTTTCTTCTGCCTGGTTCATTGTAAGGTGAGGTTCTGAGCTTAAACATCTTTTTTAGTAAATATTATTCTCACTCCATATTCAAATCCACTGGCCTTTTATGTGACTCAAATTTTTTTTTCTCTTCTTTAAGTTCAATTCAAATTTTTGTCAAAAGTGTCACTATAATTTCATCTCCTGCACTGAATATTGTTTTACATGCAGTCCTTGTTCTTTTTCTTTTTGGTCCTTCTTACGAAAATACCATTCATCAACACCAATCCCCTTGCAAGTTATTTACAATGGAATATATAATACCATCCCAATTGATACAGCTAAAGTCTAGATAACCATTTCTAATGTTTCCAAGTTTTCGGCCTCTTTTTAATCTGAGGTCTGTTGGACCTGATGGTTTCCAGGGTCACTATCTTTTCACTTTCACCAATGTTCTTGCTTGGCCTCTTTCGCTCGTGTTTAGTAAATCCCTTCAAGCTGGTATTTTCCCAACTGCCTTTAAACTTAGTTTTGTTTTTAAAATGGGGTAATCCAAGAAATGTGTCTAACTACTGGCCTATTAATATTCTCCCACATCTTTTTAAATTTTTTGAATCTATCATCCTTACTTACATTTGTCCATTTCTTAACAATCATGTTATTGCGAACAGCATGGCTTTTGGCTTGGCCGCTCAATGACTTCAATATACAATGTGGTCTTTACTAGCTATGTCTGTGATTTCTTCTCTTCATATTGTCAAGTAGATGTAAATGATGTAAAGATGTAATGATGGTGTTATTTATACTGATTTTGCCAAATCTTTTAACAAGGTTGATTACACATTAATAATTTTATCAGTAATGTTACATTACTGATCAATTTGCTCAACCTCTTAGGAATTCTACCTCACTGACCATGTACTATTTGTCTTTGTTTTGTGTTTCTCTTCTAATGTCTTTTCTTCTTCTTTTAGTGTCCCCTACACACTTTCTTTTTGCTCGTTTTGATAACTCTGTGTCTTCTCTTTATATATATATATATATAACTATTTACAATGGTCTAGAAAATGGTAAATCTATACACTAGTATGCAAAGTATAGGACAAATTGGTGCAGCCTTTTCATTAGCTATTTTGGTGTGACAGTTTCGGCGCTAGCAATGTCAGCACGAGGTTATTTCTGCACGGCATGTTTTACTTTTATGACCAGATCTATGTATTTATTAAAAAGAAATAATTCTATATGGTATATAACAATAATAATACATAAGGTATAATTGTTTAATTTCCTGTATCATTATAAAACAAATTAAATAAAAACATTTTGTATGATTAAAATTAAATTTGTCAAATACGTATATAAAAATATCTTGTACAAAAATGTTACAACTACGATTTGACAGTATAATATTAGACATTTTATTCGGATGAACACAACACTTTAAATTTTAGTTATGAACTAACTGATTGGCTGGATAATACATTGACTGACTATTTTATTTGATTTATCTTAATTGCATAATTGCTTACTAGGGGTATTTAATATTTCTTTAATAATTGATAAAAAAAGGATATATCTAATAGCTATTACTAAATTCACTATAAATAAATGTATAAATTGTATATAATCACCACCTTGAAATTACTCACGCCAAAATGGCTGCTCCAAAATATCCGATTTTCTTTAGCGTATTTATGTTTTATACATCTATGATTGGGCATTTGTTTTATGATTAATTTTAAAACTATTTAAACATATGGCGAAATAAACAGTATTTAAAAATAATAAAAATATTTAAGTCATAAAAATAAAAATACTCTAGAATCACAAAAATGCATGTGAGTACACTATTATTATAGTGTTGCTACCATGAAGTGATTCATTTTAAAATCTATTTATTTTCTAAGATTATTTATCCTTAAATAAATATTTAGCTTGAACTTTATCGACAATTAAAATATTGGCAAGCCCTTCGCCAGGACTTGGAAAGAGTTCGTTTACTTTGTGAACTTATACGTAAAAGAGAACGTCTGAAAAAAGAGAATATCAAAGTGTAAGCATTAAATATTATTTTTTCCTTTAAGTTCTTATAATAACATACATTTTATTTAAAGACATGAACAATATACTTTAAAATCGCTGTGGCCATTCCATGCTTTTTTACATACAGTATTACAACAGTTGATTTCAAAAGATACTGGTCAAATATTTATTGAACCTGTTGATCAAAATGAAGTGCCTGATTATGGAGATATTGTGAAACATCCAATGGATTTACAAACCATGGAATCAAAAATAAAGAAATTTGAATATGATAGTCTTGAAGCATTTGAAACTGATTTCAATTTGATGATATCTAATTGTTTGGCATACAACTCAAAAGAAACCATATTTTATAAGGCTGGTATAAAAATGAGAGATCAAGTGAGTTCATTCATATCATAATACTATATGTAAGTATTTAAATTTATAAAAATAATATTTTTAGGGTGGAACAGTTTTAAGAACTGCCAAACGAGATCTTAAGGCTTTGGAATTAGATCCTATTTCAATGACTATAGCTGAAAACAAATCAGAATTTTCTAAAACAACAGCTAAAAATCTTAATAACAAAACAAATGAAGATCTCAAAGATGACAAAGGTATAGAGTTTGATGATGAATTAAAAGAGATATGTAATCCGTCTAATACTATGGGTGATGATGATCGTATGTGTAAGCTTTTACAATTAGCTGATAAGTGTCGAGGTGGCCGACAAACTAAAAGAGCTCGTTTGATAAAAACAGAATTAACTAAACTTAGAGCCAAAATTGATATGGAAGGGAGAAAATCTGAAAATGGTAAATTTATAAATGTTTAATAAAATAATTTCTAAATAGTAAATTGTTTTCATATTTTTAGATGAAGTTGAAGATGTTGATGAGTCAAAAAAAATTGAAGTTGAAAGAACTAGTTTAAAGAGAAATGTTAAAAAGAAAAATGAACAACCAAATGAGAATTTTGTTTTTAAAAAACCAGAAACTCCATCAAAATTAACATCTCCAGTAATGTAAGAATTCAAGTAACAAATTTCTAAAATAACAGTATAATACTTTTATTTTTTATGTTTTACATTTTTTTTGTTGTTCTTTATTATAAAAAAATTATTAATATCATGTATTTATTCATATAGAACACCTAGGGTTTCTTTGCGTAAGAAATCATCAACAGATCCATTAGTTACATCTCCTGTTATTAGACGTACAAGACAATCAACTAATCTTGAAAGTTTCAAAGCATACAGATCAAGTGAGTTTTTATGATATTTTATAAACTCATTATTTATTATATGCATACAACTAAATGACAACTGGGTTTGTAAACAAATTTGAAATATTTAATGAATCATTTTCTATTTTAAACTTAGCTTAATTTTTTAATGTTTTTAAATAATTTTAAAATATTTATATTACGAGTATTTTATTTTCCCTGTGGGATGGGATCAGAATACTTCCACACTACCTTTACTTGTTGTTAGAGGTGACAAATGGGGTTATGTTAGACAGCTAGCTGGTGAAGTAGTGTGAAACAGTAAGAATTTTAATGAAAATAAAAGTAAGAGAAAAGAAGTGAAGAAGAAGACCAAAAAAGAGTTGGTTGGTTGAGATTGAAAATGATATGAGAACAGCAGATATATGTGAGGTGAAAATCTGGTCAAGTGGAAATTTAGAAGAAGGGTGGCAAACTCCAAATAGTTGGAATGATTGTGAAAGTGAAGAAGAAAATTGATTTAGTATTTTAGTAATATTTAGAAATTTTAAATATTTTTATGAGTTACTTATTAAGTAAGAAAAATAGTTTTTAAATAACTAATAACACTTACGATGTTAAATACTTTAATCTTTATTTTAATTTATATTTTTAAAAAAGAGCTGATACTGCTAATTGTTATGTCATTATTGTATGTGAGAAGTTGTATAGATTGGGTATATAAAGTTATTTAATTTACATCTGTAATGTAATGATAAATCACTGCTAACAAAATATGATTTTGAACAAAGTTTGTCTGTCTGTGTTTTGAAATGCCATAATTTTTATGATTTTCTTCAAAAAAGTTAATATAAGTATTCTGTGAAAATAAGTCACTATAATATTATTTTTAACTGAGTTACAAAATAATAATAATTGTTATTTCCATACACTTTTTCGGTTTTTCCCTTTTATTAAAAAAATTACAAGGAAAATCAAAAAACAGCTTCCCCATTAAAAGCACTAATTACAAAGATAAAATTATTTACTTGAATTTTGGATCAAAATTTCTAGTAGAAAAACTAAATCAAAAGTTTTGAAATTAATTTGTTTGTTTTTCATACAGGTACGTTTTTTTAAATAATTATTATAAAAACTGCTGAAAAACACATAAAATGAGACCCAAATAGATCCAAGATGCTACAAAACAGCTTTACTGACATTTTTTGATTGGAGCACCATTTCTGTTGTAAAAGTTATTAATAGACAGACAAAAAAAATAAACACTTATAATGTAAAACCAATATATTCCTCACTGCACTCAGAATTTAAAATATTGTTTGTTTATATTATATACTCTGTGTAAACATCATGAGGTGGCCATTCTATAATTTTCTAAGTTGTTTTCATAATATTTGTAAAAAATTTATAGGGAAAACCGAAAAATGTACAGCAATATAATGTTCATTATTTTTCCAGAATTTATAAGAAATCTTGCTTCGGATTTCAAGAGTAGCATATTTTCTTAAAAAAAAGTAATTATTTTCTTATTAACTTGGGGGGGGGGGGAAACGGGAAAATTTACAAATATAATGGTTGCTTTTGTTGTTATTTGAATAAAAATAATTGTAAAAAAACTTGACATTTTTACAGAATACTAATCTAATATTGGGCTGTTCTAGTCATGGTAAAGTTTTCTGGCCATTTTTGAATACTTTTTAGCTATTATACATTTTCGAGTTTTTCAGTAGATAAAATGGTTTGTACTAATCATACATTTTTGAACATTTTATGAGGTTCATTATTGGTTGTATTTTGGTTTGTGATAAAAACAAAAAGAAACTGAAAATAAGTTAAAATTTTAACAAAAATCTTGAAAATGACTGAATTTCAAAACATGTTTAGCTTAAACTTTGCTCAGAAACGTATTTCATCATAAATGATTTATTGTTGAACAAAATATATATATATATGTATACAGTGGATTCCACTTAATGTGAGCACATTGGGACAAGTTACTTTTGCTCATATTAGGTGTTTGCCCATTCAGACTAAGTATCGTTATTTATTAAAATCGGGACTAGACTATTATGTCCATATTAGATGGTTGCCCACATTCACTGGTGACCACATTAAGTGGAAACCGCTGTATATATATAATAGGGTGGTCCAAATATATATAGGATTGAAATTTTCTTGAGAAATTAAAAATGAGTACCCACCCTATATTTTTAATTGCTATGAAAAAATAATTTTGTGAAAATAGGGATTCGATAACTCATCCCTTTCCTGTACCGAAATAGAGTTGAATTATGACATAAGGGTGTTGTTTTTAAATTTCTTTTAATTATTTCTAATTATTTTAGATAAGTTTATATTTTGTTTATTTATAAACAGGATACAACAAAATAGGTTTTATTTCATTATAATATTCAATCTTTAGCTGATTTTTAAAAAATAAAATTTGTTTTCAAAAACTGAAAAACAACCCCTTTATTCAAGTTTTTTCAATTATTTAGAAAAATAAAGCATTTAGTGAAAAAATTTTAAGTTTTAAATTATACAAAATACTTTTATAATAAATTCTATTAAAAAAATGATCTAATAAAAAATTCTATATCATAGATTCTAATCATATTTCATATAAAAAAAGTGGACATAATGAAAACATTTTTATTTTTTAAAAATTTGTTTAAGATAGAATGTTATAATGAAATAGGACCTATTTTGCTGTATTTTTTTATATAAATAAATAAATAAAAAATAAAAAATAAAAAATTTAATTATACAAATACTTCAAAATTAATAGAAAAAAAAAAACTGAAAAACAACACCTTTGTGTCACAATTCAACCCTATTCAGCAAAGGAAGGGGATGAGTAATTGAGTTAGTATTTTCAAACAGTAATTTTTTCAAAAAATGGTGGGAGAGGTACTTATATTGAATTTTGTAAGAAAGTTTTTTTGGGTCCCCTAGTTATATACATAATTAAATAACTATTTATAGTACGTTCCCAACCTCCTACTTATAACAGTGATAACATCTGTATCAATTTTCTCTTTTTTGCTTAGATAACTTAAAATATTTGATATTTTATTAGTTTAAATTTTTTTTAGGTAAGAAAACTGATACAGAAGATGATTCTCCATCAGATGAAGAATCAAGCTACTTGGATTCTGGTTCTGATTCTGGTAGTAGTAGTAACAGTAGTAGTAGTAGTAGTAGTGGGAGTGGATCATCTTCCCATGGTGGTAGTTCTTCATCAGGGAGTTCATCAGATTCGGAATCAGAAAAAGAACAAAAGAAAAGAGAAAAAAAAGATGAATTTGCTCAATTACAATTGGTTTGGGCTAAGTGTAGAGGATATCCATGGTATCCTGCATTGGTAAGATAAGTAAAAAAAACAGTATTAAATGTATTGCTAATCATTTTCTTTCAGATAATTGATCCAAATATGCCACCAGGACATTTGCATAATGGTATACCGGTTCCAAATCCCCCATCAGAAGTTTTAAATTTATTAAGTAATTACAAAGAACTTGTGTATTTAGTATTATTTTTTGATTCAAAACGTACATGGTAAGTTAGTTTGTAATAGCTATATAATAATTATTTTTGTATAAGCCTAAACATTTTAATTGATTTTATTAGGCAATGGTTACCACGTGATAAACTGGAGCCACTTGGTGTTACTCAGGAGCTAGATGACATTAAGCTAACACAGTCAAAAAAACCAACAGACCGTAAATCAGTTCGCAAAGCCTATATGGAAGCTCTTGTTTACAAGACTGATCCAATAATACCATCTTCTAATTTAAGGCGTTCAAGTAGAACATAATATTAATTTTAACTTTGTTCACTGACAAATAATTTTAAATTAAATTAAAATTTTTTTTTTTAGTAATAGATAATTACTACTTATATTTATAAATGTATTTGATCTAGGTACTTATAATTAGTATTATATTGATTTCAATAATTTAAGTAAAATTATATTTATTCGACCATTTAATTTTAGAAAATGTTGCTAATTCACATTAGTGAATTTAATTATTATATAGTACATTTACTGTATGGAACATTAATTGTAATAGGTGTACAGATTTTAACTTATTAAATACACAATATACTATAGTGTTTATATTATGTTATACTAGGTTGACCAAAAACCATGTCACTATGATTTTATATAGGAGCGGTTGACTCCAGTGGCGTTTCAGGATTTTTCAAAGGAAACTTGGAAGTATTATTTGCATATAAATTATCTCCTTTCCGTATATTATACCAAAAATGACACAAATTAATTTTTATCGATTATTTAACTGACAAATTATTTGTTTCCAATACTTCTTACATTGCTGAATTTGGCATGAAAAACTAAATAATTTTGTTATAAGGTACTTTTATCTAGCGGTAAAATTGTGTACTATAATTTATAAAATAAATGAAAACAGATAAATATGATACACAAATTAATAAACAATTAAATAAATATAATATGGTGTAATTATTTTAGTTTTGTTTTATAAATGCATATGTTTCATAATATGGCACATAATACTGTTAAATAATTTTATGCATGAAGTCCTACACAAATATTTAGTTTTGGTAAATGTTGCGTACATTAAATTTTGAAGCTTTTTTAGAGTCGAAAAAGGTTGAAAAATTGTTATTAAAATATATATTCTGTATTTTTCCATGTCATATACTTGACTAAAAATCTATACACATATTTTTTTTTTAAAAAAAAAAAAATTCATGCAGAAAGTAGTTATAAATATTACATATAATAATAGCTACACAATTTCTTAAAATCAAAGTTTATTAATGAAAAATACTAAATATCAGCAATAATAGTTATTTAATAATTTTATATGTGGATGTATGATGTAACCATATTCATAAGATTAGAAGTGGTGATTATTTACTATTTGCGGGTAAAACAAGAAAAATAAGAGAATAGATTGAGATGGTATAAGTTTATTGAATGAACAAATTATAAAGTTGTTAAAAATATAAGAGTACAAGTAATATACGTAGATGAAAACTGGGTAAAGGTAGATCAAAGTAAAAGTGGTCAGTGTTTATTATGGGATATAAGGGTGTATGAAGTATATGAAGAGATAATAATGAATAGAGATGTAGAGGTAAGAGTACTTACCTACTTGAGGTGATCCTACTTGAGTGGGATAAAAGCCAAAAGAAATAAAATGTAATAATGGAAAATAAAAATAATACTTAAATCTGTGTACTAATTGCAAGCTAATAATGTCAAGGATAACTTGATTATGAAATGATTATAGTTAAAATTTGGTTATAAACAGATTATTTATAAATATTAAATTTCAACATAATGTAACTGCCAGTTTTGTAATTTAAAAAATCTATTTTCATTAAAATTGTTTGAAAGAAATATCTAAATACCTGAATCTAGAAAAAAATGTAGTTCCCGTTTTAAAAAAAGTAAGTTTTACTACATGTGCAAAGGGTTAAAAATTCAAAATTTATCTGAAAATATGTATTTGGTACTACTATTACCTGAAAACCCCATTTCTATCTTAGGTTATCCAGCTGAAATATTTAGTAGTAGGTACCTCATAATATTATCATAAAAACACCACTTATAAAAAATTAAAATTGAATTAAATTAAACAATTATAACTAAATTATGAACTATACATCTTAAAAAGTTTATGTTTCGATTATTGTAATCACTGACTGGCAATGCTTGATTTGGCAAAAAAAATTAGTTTCCCTTAAGGGTATTAATTGAACTCAACCTATACTGCAGGGTAATATTAGTAAGGTATTAAAAAATTTGTAAGAGTACTTAGTATCCCACACTTCCCCGAATTCAAGCAATACTGATTACTGAAGTAAAATTACTGAATAAATATAAGTTTGTCATGGGACTAGAAATGGGCAAACAATATTGACTTATTTTATTTAATACATAGATGAAAAACCATTTATTGTTATTTTTTAATTTATCAGCAAAATATTGATAATGTAATGTATTGATTAATCTAATATAATACATTTTGTTGCTATTTTGACAAAACACGTTTAGGTATTAAATATATTAAATATAATATAATTTTTTTTTTACTAATCATCAAATTTTAACGGTTCTATCCCAATACATTTTTGCTTACCTCCCAAAAAAAAACAAGGTTCTGGCTATGCCTAGTTATTGAATCATTGATATAAAGATATTAATTTTTTAAAAAAAATTGTTATTACACTTTTTGGTTAATCATATGGCTATATTACATAATAAAATATTTTATTTTAATGCTTTAGGGCTTTATTATTTGTACAACCTAAAAGTTTTTTTTAATATATTTAACAGTGTATATACTTTCAATACTGTATAGATCTATATCTCGTAATAGATGTTAATAATATATCTATGATTATACACATTGATGACTTTGCACTTATGATAAAGTGTCAAATTTTTTTTAAATAGCTCAAAAATTGCAAAAATGTTTTAAACACTACAAAATCTAGAAAAGGGTCACAATATATTTGGTAAAAATGTTAGGTTATTTGTAACAGGATATTTTGTTGAATTACAAAAATAAAACAAAATATAGAATATCAGTTTTGTAAAAAATACTTAAGAATAATTATTAAAATATTAATACTATCATTTGTATAAAGAATTATTAAAAATACTTTTAAAATATGTAGGTACTTACATGAAAATGTATTTTTAATAATTTATCATTTTATTAATATTTTTTCATTGACGTTTTTATTTATTTATTTATACAAGCGAAATAACGTTGAATTTAAAATCATTTTAAATTTTGATCATAATATGAATATTGTTGACTTTTCTCAGACGCATGGTTTTCCTAGAAACACGTCTCGAGAGTTGCCGATTAGATTGATTGTCGGGTTATACATTTTGTTTATAGACAGATAAGATAATATCGTTCAACGCACAAAATATCGTTACGAGCCACGAGAACGGCGATTTAGCATATTTTAAATATACTCTTATAAATTCTGTTGATGTTGAACGTTCTTTTTCAATGTTCAAAGTGTTGTTATCTGACAATAGAAAAAGTTTTTTGTTTGAAAATTTGAAAAAACATATTGTTGTTCAATGTAACTTCCAAGGTAAAAATGTGTGTTAATCTTAAATATTTGAAACTAAAATATTTTATCAATTGTTTTTTAGTAGTTGAAGAAGTTTAAAGTTGAAAGTTTTGAAGAAGTATCCTGATAATAAAACCCATAAAATAAATCCAAAAAATTCAAATAATTAATAGAAACTTGTAAGTTGTTAAATAAAGTTGTAAATAAAAATGTATTCATTAAAATAATAGGTACCTACAGAAAAATTCTTATTTTTTGTTCAAAAATATTCATTACAAAATGCATATTTTGTATATTTAAGTGATATATTTGGTGATTTTTTAGAGCTACAAGTCCTCTGCCCTAATTATAAGTATTTTTTAAAAAAAATTAATAGGTACTATATAGTCGGTATAATAATATTATATAGGTACCTATTTAATATTCATGTTATTGTAGGTATTTATTAAATACTAAGGTGGGCTGAAAAATTAAAAACGTTTTTTTAGTCGTAATGCCACGAAATATTTGAGAATTCGGAAGACTAAAATGGGGGGGGGGAGGATGAAAGAAATAAAATTGGTTTAGATCTTCCGGTCATTACCTATTTAAATCCTTCAACATCTTCCAGCATTACTTTCGAAGTTACTGAAATTGAAAAAATAAATAAAGATAGATTACAGTTCAAGGGGGAAAAAATACTAACAAATTACACGTTTTTTAGATTTAGAGCGTAGCAAAGGGATCTATTGGTTTTACTATGATGTTTATTTTTATTTTTATTTTTCTGCGGACAACTTGTAACGTCCAAAAACGACCATTTCCCGTTATCAAAGGACAAGCATACCTACCATCGATATGGGCGACCAGTTAATAGATTACGCCACCTTCGACGGATATGTTATGTCATCATGAACAATAATTCCCTCCCGCGCAAAGATTTATGCGATCGCAATCTGTTGCAATTCGCAATAATATTAGATTTCTGACTACGGGTTAACGGCCAATCATATCACGTTTCCGCTTATCGCCAAAAACGTCGGCCCGCGGCGACGTGCCTCGAACGTCTCCGCGCTCCGCAACCCAGTTTTTCTTTTTCTGTTCGTTCTGTTCGTTCTTCGTGTCAATGCCTCGTCCGGAGATTTCAGTCACCAGGCGGTCTTCAGATACAATTCTCTTAATAAAACACTCCCGTGTATTACACGGATTCACCAATTTTTGCCGCCAAGAAAAGGTCGTGTACCTTGGTACGATTCATGATGGTGCCTCGAACGAATCAATGAAGTGAGTCCCGATCTGGTCCGCTGGGCGGACATCTTCGGTAATATGTATGTAATTTAGTAATTAGCCGACACCCCGTTAGTTAGTTAATTAGTTTTTAAGGTAATTTAATTAAGGTTTCTCCGTATGGATGTGTTTGTATAAAATATTTTTTTTTCCGTATAGTAAATCCGTCCGATATACTTATGGGAATCAACCAGCTAGATCTGTGTGTCCGTCTCATTATGCTAATCCCCGCGTTCCACATCCTAAATGCGATATGCCAAACCCCTCCCCCCCGTATTTTGTTTTATTTTTTCTCTTCTCTTTAAGTGCTAGGTTTCGCATCCACGTGTGTGAGCATCTAAAAAATGAATATATATATATATATATAGATCGATTTTCCCCGTTTCGCGGTCCAGATTCGGACGCACCCCGCAGGTTCACCCGTAGGGCCACCGAAACTACGGACCATTCAAGATGGAACAAAAAGCGTTTCCGCTACCCTTCCCGGCGGTAATCTGTGCGACCCGGCAACCTGCCGGGGTCTCCCCAATACATAAGGTGCCCATATAATAAGTCCCGGCCTGTACGTTCCCCGTGATGCCACTATGTCCGGACAACACTTACGACCGGTTGACGCCTCAATCAATGTACATATATTCAAAATATAAATTGTCTGTAAATATTAGTTTATAAGCCTATGTATATCAATGTTATAAATCGTACCTGTTATCCATTATTTCTTAATTAACAGTTCTTATGCCCCGGGCTTTTCTGTTATATGAACTTAAATTTTACTTTTGATTGATAAATTAAATAAATAATTATATACATTCCCCCAAGAAAACCATGTGTTTACTTATTCAAATTCTCTTTTTTTTCCTCCCCTCCTCACAAAATCCTAGGACTTCGGTCTTCGGGCCTCGGTCCTAGTTGGTGGCCTTCCCACTAGGCGGGTAGTCAGCTGGGCGATCGGGTCGGTCCTCAAACAAGGCCGACCGAACCGGGACGTCTCAAACTTTTCAACCGGTAATTTTAATCCGAATTACAATGATAGCACTATTTCTGAAAGGAAATCTGACTGGGGTGGTACTCTAACGAGGTCATTTTTTGATTTTCCTAGGAGTTTTCCAAAAAAATGGAAAAAACTGGAAAGAAGTACAATGTTAAACAAATATTATTAAAGAAAATATATAATACATTTGTAATTAATCTTACAATAATATGATATATACCTATATATTTATTGTTAACAAAGCAACACTATTAATGGAATCCCGCTTAAAATAGTTTTGTTCGTTAGTAATGTTTAATCGTTGTTTACAGATTTACATTGAATTACCTAAAACAGTGGGTGTACCCATTCCTATTATACTTGGACAGTTTTTTTCAATGTAATTCAATTAGAAATATTCGTAGAAACTTCGTAGGCGTCATGGTTCTGTACACAATTATTCTGCTTTCACGTGCTATAATACGTGTCGCTGGACGCTGGTGCTTTTTTATTTTTCCATCATTCCACATTTAAGAGATCGTCGCCCGTCCAACGCTCCCTTAAAACCTAACCTAACTTATCGCTCACGTTCAGAACCACTGATATATACAATTTGATAAAGATAAAAATATTAAAAGCTAATGGGGGGGGGGGGAACTCTCTCTGGGAGCCTATGGAGATGGGTAGGTATACTGAATTATATGTTAGGCATCTATTAAAAAGAGCTATCTGGTTCTTGTACAAAACCCTTAATTTTGTATACAATTTTTTCACGTTGAAATATCGCATTCTAATATAGCTTTTATTCTCAAGGGATGATTACGAAATTTACCGATCAATCTTTTAAAAGAGAGAGTTCATAAGTAAAGAACGAAGGTTGGATATTCCATATTTCAACATACCTACCTCTATAGAAAGTTCCTATCTGTATCATCATTAAAGTATACATTAATATATTATAGTTGTTTTTATTTATTGAACTTGTTTCTCCGATACAATACAATATTGAGCTATGGAAAATTAATATATGTATTTTCATTGTCAATCCATTGTTAAAACACCAATCGCGTTATGATAAAAAATTAGGTACTGAATTAGAACAGATGACTTATATATTATTGTATTAAATAATAATTTGCTGTCTATTGTAATTTATATGCAGTTCCTTTACGTTCAATATTATAAAAAAAATAATCGGTATAATGGTGTATGCTTTATATTGATACTTCTGTGTAGGTAACAAATTATACGTGCTATCATCGGTCAAAGACCTATGTTTGACATAAAGGATAATTTTTTTATTTCATTGCAGGTTGAATAACTCAAATTCATATAGTTATTGTTTGATTTTATTATAAAGTATAATTATATTATGTAGATAATTAGTTGATTAATAATCTAAAATTGTAAAGGATATAATGAAATTTATATGTATCAACTAGGTTAGGTTTTACCCAGGGCCAGAGGGTAATGAGGTATAGGGCGTCAGAGACAAAATTACCTTTTAGTTTTCAAATTGAAATTAACTTCGAATGAAAATTAAATATTTTTTATAATCTTCACTCGGCACTCCTCATCAAAAAACATTTGAGTTATATGATATGAATAGTTTCGATATCAGTTGGCAATATTGATTATTGATATAAATAAAATATGAACATTTAGAATAGCCCATGTCTATTTTTAAAACTATTAATTTAAACTGATAAACATTTTCCTGTATCCCGTACTTTTCGTCCACTATACACCGTCAATCATAATATTAACACATTAATAACACGTATCTGTCGTCTGTGCGTGAATACCTTTGATCGTATACTAGTATATGGTCTAAGGTGAATACTTATCAATTATTTGAGAGCCATTCAAAAACGTATTTAGTGTTCTTAAGTTTGTAAAAAATCATTTGCTAACAACAATGACTGATGAACGATTAGACAATCTTATGGTATGGGACTCATCCAAGGATATTCTGGACGAGATTGAAATGACAACAATAATTGAGAGTTGGGCAGCCATTAAAGCACGCCGTGCCGTTAACCGTAAAAAATGTTGTCCACAATTATTGTAAAAACGTTATTATTATTATTTTTATAGTATTTTATAGATTATAAGAACTTTGGTGCCTAATGCCTAGTAGAATTATTGGTTTTTTTTTTCAGATTCTAAGTGAAGCAAAGAAGCTTATGGTTTTACAAAGCTATTTATTTTTTTATTTATTTTCTGTGGACAACTTTTCTGCCAGAGAACTTGCTCCGATTTTTACATGTAGTACTTTATCTGAAAGAAAATCGGTGTGGGGAGGTACTTTAAGGAGGTCATTTTTCAATTTTCTCCGGAGTTCTTTCAACAAATGTGAAAAACGGAAAATGTAAGAAATGTAGGTAATAATAATTACGGCATTTTTTTTTCTTGTGGACAACTTTTCTACAAGCAATTTCGTTCTAATTTTTAATGATTTATATGATGAATTTACAACTTGTAATGAAAGGAAATTTGGCTGGAGAGGTACTTTGAGAGGTCGATTTTCTCAAGAGGTTTCCCAGCAAATTTTAAAAATCAGAAAAACCTGGGAAAATGGAAAAATCGGTACAGTAAACAAATACTATTAAAGATAATATAATATTATATATTATACAATTCCTATTAAATTATTTTACCATAATATGACATCTATATTGTTGACAAAGCATCACTATCAACTGAACTCCGCTCAGAATCGTTTTTTCGTTAAAGCAATGGTTAATTGTTGCTAACAGATATATATTAAATTACCTATATAACAATGGGTAACCAGTTCCCATTATCCTAGTACGTCTTTATTACTTTCTACCTTTACTATCATTTTAGCAGAAATTCTATTCCAATTGATAAATGTGCTGATAAACAACAATAGTATTAGTATATTATACATATGTAAACATTATATAAATATCTAATACATTTTTTTTAGACTGAACCAACTTAATATCGTGTAGGTATTTGATTTACAGCAAAAAGTTATTTTATAATGTCATTATTGCTCTGGTTATACATTTTTTTTCGAGTCGGTAAATATGATATTTGGAGTCGGAAATTTTGTTATGCCACCCCCCCTCTCCCCGTCAGACATTTCTTGTGCCAGCCCTGGTTTGACCAGAATTGAACTGGTAGGTATTTAATTCTTAAAATTCAATGATTTTCCTATTTGAATACCTACTTGCTGGTTTAATTTATTATTCGTTTATTAATTAAAACATTAAAAAATATTAGAATTATTTAATATTCATTCAGTTTAATGATACCTATAACAATCTAACTACTTTTTTTTTCTCGGTACAAACCTATCTTTACAAGAAATCAACAAGTATTTATTTTTAAATTTAGTATAATTATATTTTTAATAATAGGTAATTGAATGTGGGCTATGCTGTTAGTTAAGTTATTATCCCGTAATTATATGGCACGATAATATGATTATAGTTAAGTACGATGCCTAACGGAAAGCGAGCTTTTAACAGCCTTGAAATTAAAAAAATTAAATTTTTTAGTTACGTCAAACAAGTTTTAATCTAGATGACCTCATTTAATGTTTAATTGTAATGTGTTTCAAACTTCTAAGCGTAGACATTTTCCGGAAACATATTGATTTTACTATGGTGTGTTTTTTTTTATTTTTTTGTCTGCAATTAATTTTTCTACCCGACATCTTGCTCTGATCATCAATTTCAAAAGTAGTTTCTGGTAGGTAGCACACATTTTGAATGTATGATATGTGATAGATTAGATGTTATTAATAGAATTTTATTGTATTAAACTATATTATTATTATCACTTTGAGAAGTAGCATTGACCAAAAAAAAAAAAAAATACCTATGTAAATTACAGAAAATTAAACGTAACAAAAAAATAAATTATATGCATTATATTATCATACAATATATTATACGCTATAGTATACTACTTAATTAATAAATAATATTTCATATAAAATTTATCAACTAGTTGTACGTACCTACATCATTAATATCAATTGTAATTTATGAAAAAAATATTAATTCGGTAATATTATTTTAACAATATGTTGCACAGCAAAAATCTTGCTCACATTGACAATAAAACGTGTCCATGTAATGAAAATATTAAACTTCAGTAAAGCTTGCAGTAAATTATATAAATAATACTGAAATTATCAATTTCTTATCTTAAATAATCGCAATGACAAATAACATAATACAGTGTACTCCCGATTATCCGTGGAACAGGATGGCAGAATATCCACGGATAAACAAATTCCGCGGATAATCCGCAAAATTAAATTTTATAATAAAAACTAAATTGGAAATTGAAATTGAAAATTATTATTATATATGTATAATTAAAAAAATACACTTTATAATAATACAACTTAATGTGCAAAAAAATCAGTCACAAGTTGTTGTTTCTTTGTTTGAAAACTCTTCTTTTTAACTTGTAATTGAAGTTTTTTTAATAACATTTTGTCACAGGGTTGTATCGTCTTGTTCTTCTAGATATTTAATGATCCCGTCTATATGTTTTAGAGTTGCTTCATGGCTAACTTGCTTTACTTCATTTACTTCATCGTTTTCTTCTTCTTCACCTTCACTTTCCGAAACTGTACCTAATGCTCCACTTACTATTTGTTCATCACTAAGACGCTCAAATCCTGNACTCTTCTTTTTAACTTGTGATTGAAGTTTTTTTAATAACATTTTGTCACACAGAGTTGTATCGTCTTGTTCTTCTATATATTTAATGATCCCGTCTATATGTTTAGAGCTGCTTCATGGCTAACTTGCTTTACTTCATTTACTTCATCATTTTCTTCTTCTTCACCTTCACTTTCCGAAACTGTACCTAATGTTCCACTTACTATTTGTTCATCACTAAGACACTCAAATCCTGGATTATTGGCATCACAATTTATCCACTCATTAATGTTTTCTTCGTCAACATTCTCTCCTCCAGTAAGAGATTTAGAAAAATTAGCCAAATCAAANAACTTGCTTTACTTCATTTACTTCATCGTTTTCTTCTTCTTCACCTTCACTTTCCGAAACTGTACCCAATGCTCCATTTACTATTTGTCCATCACTAAGACGCTCAAATCCTGGCTCATCGGCATCACAATTTATCCACTCATTAATGTTTTCTTCGTCAACATTCTCTCCGCCAGTAAGAGATTTAGAAAAATTAGCCAAATCAAAAGCAGAGAATTCTTCTTCTTCCCCCCCCCCTATCAATGTATTTTCCACACTCGGTAAAATTTTTCTCCAAGACTTGACCAACGTAGTTTGCTTAACTAACCCCCTCCCACTCAAGCAGTATTTACGTCATAAATGCTATCAAGAATTGTGTAATCTTTCCAAAAACGTTCAAGACCATTTCCCTCTTCAATTCTATCGCAGCCCAATTTAACCGATAATCATGTACAATGTACATTCGAGGGTCTAGTATTAAATTGTACATAATGTGTATTAATAAAGCGTATTTTACGCCGTTATCGAGTTATCGACTATGACGAATTCACAACCCAATTAAACCAATAACGATTTATAATGGAAAGACACAATGCGTATACATTTTTTTGTATACATATAGGTACGTAGACGGTTCCGCGGAAGACAGCTGATAATCGGGAATACGCTGCACGTTGTTCGGCACGTTTACTACGAAATCGAAATCAAGCCGGTCTCTTGTTTGTTCTGCGTAAGCGTTGATCTCGCGTGTTACCCGGTGGTCGGACCGTGACAGTAGGCGCGCGGGTATAACGCCCGTCTGAAAATATTCGCGTTCGGAAAAATAAAAATAAAAAATAAAAAAAATAAAAAGGAACGCATCCGCGGACGGCCCCCCCGGTAAACGGCCGTTACGCGACGCGCTAACCCGGCCGGGAACGACGTCGACGCGTTTCGCGGGAGCGTTCGAAGACGCGGGCGGGGAAAAAAAACGTACCGCGGCGGTGTACCCGCCGCTTGCCGATGTCGCAAGTTTTTCCGGTCCGTAAACCGCAACGACTGCGCCGCTGTCGTGCAGCGCGCCGCCGGCGGGGTCGGACCGCGGTCGGTGCGAATTCCGTGATCGACGGACGGATCTTCGGGATTCCAAATCGCGCGCCGTCGCCGCGGTCTTTTGTGTCCATGCTGCGCGACGTTTATGTACGCCCGCGGCGATAAAACCGTTTGTGCGTAGTCCCGTTGACGACAACACGATCGCATTACGTTTCGTCGGCAGTACGCAGACGAAAGCGAGCCTATTTTTTTTTTTTATGTTTTTCGAACGCCGGTATCGCGCCGTCGCGGCACGTCGTAAATTGTCGTGAATTTATCCGTCGTCGATGCCCGCGTAGCAATATATTCAATTATGCTACACCCGAGTATAGCGTGCGAACGGACACAGCCGAAACAGTGGACAATGGAGCGCGAACAGGAAGGGCCGCAGAGCAAACGTGCACGGTCAGTCCGGCGCAGCGCGTGTAACGTCTTCTAAATTGCCGATATACACCGGCGCCCGGTGAATTGTCAATCGCATACGGAACGTCCGGTCGTTTGTCCGTTTTTCGCCGAACGCCGGCCGTCTATTGACGAACGCTTTTTTATTTAGACGGCGCTTTATTGAAACTGTACCGTCGGCGTGTCCGTAGGGAGTCCAGAAGCCCTAGACCACACTTCCCCCAGTACCCCGTAAAACCACCGCTGTCTACATCGTTACTGTCGGTCGATCGTCAACGATAAATCGCCGTTTTTTAATAGCGGACGGCCTGTCCGCGGCCGACCTCGTCTCCTGGTCGGACAGGTGTTAAACACCGCTCCGCTGCAATGCCTCTCGCGCCAGATTCCGTTGCATAATAATTAACTGTTGGTGATTCGATACACCGGACAACAGAACGTCGATTGCTACCACATTGATTCACTACTACGTATTTCCGAAATTTCAATTACGCTCACGGATATGCGCAAGCTCTGTTAACTGCGGGTTTATTGATAATAACGGCACGGTAAGCGGTCTATCGGTAAATTTACTTATACAATCGAGATGGGAAAAAAAATACGTCGCATTGGTTTTAGTGTTTTATGTACGCCGGTGGGATTTGATGAATGAACGCGCGTAAAAATATAGTTGGCGTTCTGGGGCTAATCGTTTTTTTTAATTTTATATCGTTAATCCCCGCAGCCTTGACGCGATTTCACGACGAATCCTTAAGCCCGGTCTTCAAGCGACTATCGCGCGCGATAACATAGTTGATGCATTGACGTAGTTACTGTCGCGAGAGCGACGGTATAGTATAGTAATCGTCGCGCGAACACGTCAAGCGCTGCGGTATCGCGTTTCGCGTTTACGGTCGTTCCGCCGCACTTTTGCCGACGTAGACGGTTCGCGATCCGCTCGCCGCCGCGACCAAGTGATTGAAACAAATCGTGTTAATTTAAATTCTGATTTTAATTCCGTTCGATTTTGATTTCAATCCGGAAAAACGTGTTAATTAGAGTACGGTACACGTCCGTTCGTCGTCTTTGCCTCGGACCAACGCACCGCATAATAGCAAATGAACGTTGCGTTCAGCAGAGCCGATGTCGTGCATCTAAGTGTTTTGTTATTATGAATTACGGCTAATTGACCCGCGCACTCATCAGAGGCAAGAACACTGTCTGCGTCTGTATAAACGTTGGTGTTTTTTTTTCCCCGATGCTTTAACATTAAAAACGCGATATAAACATTGTGCCTTTTCACACACTCATATCTCGCATTAGGATTAAACTGTTAAATTAACGGCGACATTTAATTACCATTAAATTAATACCTACATGGTTTTACCTTTAATTTCGATAACAATTCACTCTGCGGATATTAAAACTAATAGCGGTTCGTGTTACCGAGATGACGAATAAGGCACGTGCGGTCACTGGCGTAGTGGCGTCCTCTCAAACACAGGTTCCCAGAGTATTTTCGATATCACTCAAAGACCGTTTTCGTATGCATAATATTATATAGGTAAAACACACGAACGGATGAACTAAATTGCATTTAAATACGCGGATTCACATTTGATGTAAATATTTGCATATGGTATTATCACTTTTGGCCCGATTTTAAAAAAATCGTTGAATTGTCGTGAAAACGTACATTATTGTTTAAAAGCAACAATAGGTACTAATATCGACCAAGCTGCGCTTAGAATCGTTTATCGTCACGGATATGGTAATCGTCGCGTACGGATCGATGTACATTAAATTCCCCTTTATATCTCGCATACCAGGGGTGGCCAAACGGTCGATCGCAGATGGTTTAAACGTCGATCTCCGTTTTGTTAGAATATTTTTTTATGTTATTTTAGTGGACAAATAACAATCGCCGATCATTTTCATCTTATCGATAGATAGTCTTTATTATTTTTTTTTTTTTTTGTAAACCCATCGAGTAATACGCACATAAACAACGTAGTTTATCCCGGCAATCGTATTTAACAACAATACCGTATTGCCGCGGTCCCGGTCGAACGGGGCCGTTCCACCCGGGCCCGCCGCGTCGCCGCCGCCGCGGCGAGTACGGGACCGGGGGGGGGGGGCCCGGAGAACCCCCGGGGCGAATCGGTGGCTCGGAAGAGGGTCGCCGGCGCGAACGGGGACCGCGGGCGGCGCGCGCGACACGTGCGGGCGCCAGCGCCGCGCGATGAATAGGGCCCGATTATCGCATTAATTGTACAAAAGGAATCCGAGTATTAACGTTGGTAACATTGTTCGCGCGACGCGTTTACCGGACCGGAAACTTTCGTAACTTTCGGCCGAGAGTCCTCGACTGCCGCCGCCGCCATTATTGTTATTATTGTGCGATAACGTAACGGTACACGAGTCACGCAGAGATCACGACAATAAACCGTATTGCCGTTAATTACCGTATTACGTCGGTGTACGGCGACGAAAGCGCGCGCGATTATAACGCGACGCGCGCAACACGCCGTTTCGTTTTCGCCGATCGTTGTCATTTTTGTTTTGTTTTCCGCCAGCGATCCTCTCCGGTCTCGACCGGGCCGGTGCCGCCGCGGACGCCCCGGACGAACGGGCCGAGCGGCAGGGCGGGGGGCGGTCGCGCGGCGGCCCAGTTCGGCGCGGACCAAAAGCGTTCCGTCGTTGTTTCAGATTCTCGGCGGCGGGCCGAAGAAGCCCACGATGCTACGATGACGTTTATTTCGTATTGTTGTTATTATTTTTTTTATTTTTTTTTTAATACGCGAACGACTTTTCCGCCGGAAACGGCGCTCCGATCCACGGGTGCGTAGCTCTCTGTTTCCGAAAGGAAATCACGCCGGGGCGGCACTTTAAAGAGGAGATTTTTTTTTTGTCCCGAGAATTTTCCTAGAAAACGGAAAAAACACGTGTCGAAACACGCGAAAACCGGGAAAATATAAAATTGCAATTATAAAGAAATTATTTTGTATGAATTATTAAGAAAACGTATTAAATAGATTTGGGTGGTTTTTGAAAAAAAGTTGGCCGTCGGTGAGAAAGCTAGTGGCGCTTGCCTAAAAATTCGTGTAAAATAGTTTTTTTTTTTTATATACTGTGTATTCAAATTCTATCAAAAATCTTGCCCAGGTATATACGCGCGGCACTATTTCTGAAAGGGAATGTTATCTAGATGGGCACTTTTGGGAGGTAATTTTTTTGATTTCTGGTGGTTTTCATAATATCTGGGAAAAACCAGCATAAAACTTATCTTGGTTTTAAAAACGGGAAACTTACGAAAATAATGGTTTTATTATTTTTCAATGGCGTTATTTGTTGTAATTCTGTTAAACATTTTCGTAAAGACTTGTTATTTGGACAGAAACGTTATGTTTTCCTTTTGTAGGCGTGGTAAAATTTTCGAAAAAATTAAACGATGGTTTGTCGTTGCTTACAGATTTACGTTAAATTACCTATAACAGCGGCCGCGCCCGTCCCCATTATCCTTGGACGTCTTTTCAACATTCGAAATATTTATTTGAGAAGTCGGAGCCGAAGTTTTCGTAATTTTTTTACGTTACGTTTTTGATCGTTTACTGATGGATTTTAAGATTAACACGATTAACGTGGATTAATATGATCATCATCGGCGAGATGTACATATACCGTCACGGACTTTTTCCGTTGGCCTTTTCAATATGTACATACGATCCCGTATATAGTACATTATTTCGATGTATCCCAAAAGGTTTACCAATGTAAGCGCTCGAAAATGTTTTTTTTTTTTTTCTACGACTTCCACTACTATTTTTCTAAAACGTCGATTTTTCTCTACACGCTGTAAATATCACATGCGCGTGCACACAGCTATTATTAACCTTCCGGAAGAAATTGTATAAATGAGACGGTGAACACCGCATCGAAATCCGTCACGTTTGCAGAAGTACTAAGCGCACGGACCGCAGACTACGCGGATGGTGGCTGTATTTCATATACTATTTCGATAAAACAAAAAAAAATTACGAAATTCATAATATTATTATTAGGGCACGGATCGGAATGCACTTGAAATCCGTAAAAAGCGCTTAAATCGGCAAAAAATTTCTTAAATGTTCTATTTAAAAAAAAAAAAAGCAAAATTTGTAGGCGAGGTCAAAGTCCCCTCACTGTGACATAAAACACTTTACTATTCCATAACGCAAATGCGTGCGTGTTGAAATATGAAAGAAATTACTTTGAAATAAACATTGTTTTAGTGTTGAAGAATTTTCTACTAACACTTTAGATACCACGTAGAAACTTAAACGTAAACTCCTCTACCTTAGCGTTTTTTTTTTTTTTTTTAGAGCTTTTTTTACTTTTTTTTTTCGCGAATTTCAAATGCACGTCTCAACCCGCGCCCTACTTATCGCGGCGAAACGAAACGTGTCGACTACGCGTACATTATAAATGTATTTCGTCGTGTGTTTCCCATCACGAAAACCGTCCGCACATGAAATGTTGCTGCGCCACCCATAACACCGCCGGGTCGCGCGACGTACGCCCGTATAAAAAAAAAAAAAAAAAAAAAAAAGACTGCGAAACGGACAACGCGCGCGCGGCATTAATAATAACAACAATAACGGTAATAACGACAATAATAATATTACGATACGTGTACCTATTGTGACATGTTATGGGTACAAAGTGTTTTGCGGCG